CTCGCCGGTAATTTACTGCAGCTGCAATTAACTGGAATCGAATAAAGCAAACATTTTTGGTTTGTTTTGGCGATTACGGCTCTGAATAAAATCCAGGAAATACTGGTTATGGCTGAACTAAATCAGTTTTAGAACCAAGAAGAGCTGTAAACGGAAACCCAGCAGTCGAGTGTAAATCAAAACCCATCCCACATGTTGCATGTTGCATGTGGCTGGTGGCGCGTGTGTTTCGGGTACCATCGCTTGGGGACATGCGACACAACTACATAACCTTTAAGGGGTCTACAAAAAAAATGGGGGGGTCTTTAAAAAGAGGAAGGCAGGTGATAGCAAGGGGTTAAGAAGGGGCAGGGCGACTGCCTGCACTTACAGGAATGACAAATATGCTGGCACGCAAGCTCCATTGCACAGTAAAAAACTAAATATTCTGGAATATTTCGAGATTTTAAGCCACTAATTTAGACGCTCAAAAGTATGCTGTGAAATTTATTCAATGTCTTTAAAGCCTCCCAAAACATTTAAACGCATAAAATCAATACTTATGGTATCAAAAATATATATGTATATATTAATTCTATTTTCACAATGATTAATATAAACTACAAAAAAATATAATTCACAAATAAAACTGCCTAAAATGTTCTATTTTTAGGCAGGTGGTTGTTTGATCTTTCTAGAAATGAGTCTTTTGTTAACTTTTCCATGATTTTTTACTGTGTAGATTGCTGGTCCCACAAGATCGACGACTCGGATTCAATTCAGTGGAAATTGCAAACGCGAAACAAACAAAACCAGCCGTGGAATCAGAGAACCAGCAGAAAAACAAAACAAAAACTGAAAATAAACAAACAACTTCGACAAGAGCAAATGACGCAAATTGCGCACACCCGAGAATACAAGCCGGACTCCAAAGGGTCTCCGATCTGGGATTTGGGACTGGACCTCGGATTGGACCTGCAACCTGAGATCCCAGCTGCAAAACCGCATCTTCTTAAAAAAATATATTTTTTTGAAATACCCTTAATATAAAAGTAATGGCAAATGACAGCTCACTTTTAAAAATAGGCAAAGAAATTAACTTTTCCATAATTAAACTTGCAATTTATTATGAATTTTGACAAGATAATACCTATTTTATGTTCTATATTTGGAGCCACCCAAACTGTTGCACCTTTCCAAATTAATCGATCAATCAGTGCCATAAGTGACTTTAATTACCGATTATTTCGATAGCCGTTACTCTGATACAAAAGAACCGATAAGTATATATAGTAAAACAGAACCCTGATTTTTGGCAGACATTTATAACTGATTATTTCAATGACAATCAAAATTCTATGCCAAAAAATTAAACGATAATTTTAAAATTGTATCTATTCTAACGTGATAAATAATCAAAAGTTCATTAAAGTAAGACTTTTATTGACGATAACTTCAATATTCAACACCTTAATTGACAACACTTAATTTTTATATAATAATGACTAATTCTTATAAACAATAAAAAAGCAAAAATGTCATATATAAAAAATAAACCAATAAATTATGACTCATTTATGAATTTATGACAAATTTGTCTATAGATAATGCACCTCAAAGTTCGATAGCCTCTTGAATTTCGTCAGATTTTGTGTACTTAAAATTCAAGGGGTTAATGATAACCTAATTTTAATTAATAATAGTGTAATGTTCTATAAAACCCTGATTTTTTATTGACCTTAATTACCAATTTTTCGATAGTAATTCGATACACTGTACAAAACTATACAAGTGCTATTAAGCCCCGCGTTTCGATTGGTTTCCAATAGGGTATCCCAAGCTGATCTTTAATTCCTACGAGAATTCTTTGTGGCTTCCGGGGGGCGGAAAAGGGCATGGTGGCACAGTGGGGGGAAGGGGGAAGGGTGGTTCAGTATTGCGGCAATATAATTTACTTGCGACGATCTTTGCCGCGATCGCTGATGGGCGACAGCTGCTGACGTCAACGGAAGTTGTCGCTTGCGCGAAGGTCAACGGATTGTACCACAAAAAGTTCTCCCAGATCCGACTTACAAGGGTAGGGGAAGGAGGGGTAGTTGTAAGGGGGCAGATCTCGCCGCTAAATCGATTTCTCACACAATTAGTGGGCGTCATAATTCCCATTCCCATTCCCATTCCAATTCCAATTCCTCTGACGAATTTCCCCCCGATACCCACTTTATACCCCGATGTGTTGATTAGATATGACACTGGGAATGGGTCTGGAAATGGGACTGGGACTGGAAATGGGACTGGGACTGGGTCTGAGACTGGGACGGGCTGATCGGACTGTGACGGATGTGCACGACCCACAGAGACCATAAAGGCTATTAAAAAAAAACACACACCACACGATCCAATCATAATGGTAAATGCCGTTGAACGTCAGGCAAAGATCGACTACACTTCCCTCTAAAACGGTGATAACAATTCGAATGTGACTAACCATTTTTATGATATCTCGAAAATTCTACCTTTAAAAAAGATTTTACACTTTACACTGGAACACTAACCGAGGGTTAAAAACCAGTTCTTAACTGAACTAAACCAATATGGAACCAAACCAAACCGCTTTTTCCTGCTTATAACAGAAGCGTTAAATGGAAACACACGTATTTAAAACTAATATTTTCCCTTTTTAAAATAAAATGGGCCCAAATATTCTTTTAATATAGGTTTGAATTTATTTTTTTTAGATTACTATCTATCTTATAAAAATTGTTAGGGCTGTACAAATATTATCTATCAGTTGTCATTAACCATTTTCCATGTAGACACAATCTTATTTGAGGTGTTATATATAAATGAAATAATCTTGAAATTTCTAAAATTGCATTCTTATCAAATGCAATAAATGAGCTCATCAAATATAGATGTGGAAACTTTTTTATCTGAATTATAACAATATTATTTAACATGAGCAAACACATATTTCCCAGCTTAAACATAATAAACTAATATAGTAATAATAAAAAAAGGCATTACTTTCTATACAAATTTTGTGATAGAATGAAAATTAAATAATGGTCTCAATTGTTATATATACTCAATTACAAAGCGATACTTTGGATCAATATTTTTCTAGGTGTAGAAATGATGTTCCACCCTTGAGGAAGCTTTATAGATTTGGTTCGTCTTGATAAGTTTGTATTGAAAGGCAAATAGTAATTTGTATTCTTGTATATATCCTATATCTGCGTCATATTTCCTGTTTATTATGGGATAATTTGTATCAATATTTTGAGGTTCATAAAGAAGATATTTATTCCATGAAGAGAGTCTGTTGGCAGATTGTCGCTGACTTTGCACTTCAGAGCTGATATCATTATTAATGATCACGACTCGGATCAGGAGAGGAGCAGATCGGATGGGGGGATAAACAAAGCCACCCCAGTGACGTCACAGCGACGTCAGCGGACCAAATGGCGATTGTCGGTGACTTTGGGGCACCCACACATGGGCTTTATCTTTAAGTAAGCAAGAGGCATTTCTGTGAAGCCCACGCCGCAGTGTCCGTTGCCCACAATAGCTAAACAATACGAAGACAGCCTCGGGCCTTCAGTCCTCAGTTCTCAGTCCCCAGACCTCAGTTCCCATCACAAACAGAGGGAAAAAAACCCATCCCATTCCACTTCAAAAATGGAATGCGAAGAATAACTAAACAAGATCGTCCCTCGAGGTCTTCCAACCCCCCCTCCCCCGTCTAAAACTGTAATGACAACTGCGATAAGGTGCGGTGACAGGCGAACGGGTGAGTAGGATACCAGGAAATGGGGGTCCCAAGAATGCCAAGCACCGGTGATATCAGGTGAAATTAACAAACGCCCAGCATCATGTGGCTGTGGGGCCCATGATAATGCCCGTACTTCTACGACTCAAAATATGAATGAAACTTGATGTCGTTGCGAGGAAAAACCGACTCGAGTGATAGGAGGAAAGTCACTTGACATATGGCAATATCCAGTAATTGGATTTTAGTTTGTGCCTCAAGTAGATTAGTGTTGCTTTATCAAAACACAAACAGAAACCAAAAAAAATATGTAATCAAGGGAATAGCAAGATATTGATTATTTTCCCCACATTTAAATTCTAAACAAATCTGGTACACTTGTTGAGATGCGTTTTGTTTATAGAGCATATTTACAAGCAAATGTAAAGCAAATCTGAAGCAATGCTCATAACAAATAAACGCAGAGACGGAAGTTGAATAAGAATCGTATTCAAATGGGTTGAAGCTGGTAATGACATGCTAATAAAATTGAAGTTAATCCTACAGCGACGTGGAGGTTGAATATAAAGTGTATGCAAAAGAGTGCTATAAATTAAATGACCTTTCATAATGAAAACTGTATACTATAATTCTGAATTTAATTCTGAGGTAGTTTTAAGAATTCAAGAAAAATAGACCTATAAAAATATAGCTGACACCCAAAATGGTAATGTTTTGCAAGAGTTTCTCCATCTGAGACTGTTTTATCAACAAAAGTGATACTGGTAAGTAAGATCCCCATGACTTATGGAGTAATCCCCTCCGGCTCGAGGGCTCGTGTGTCATATAGACATGTATGCGGGTCTTAATGGGAACGGTGACGTATGCGCGATATCGCTCATCCCCCGATAATAAAGCCGTAAGGCAGAGCGTTATACAATTGACTTAGTCCGACGGATGGTATCATCACAGATACAACCATGTACATATATACCATATGGTATATAGTATATAGTATATGGTATTAAGCACACTCCACCCTCGTGGGTTGAAGAAGAGCATTTCCAGACCATTTCTGGGATCCCTCCGATTATTGCTTTTGTGGCTCGTCGGCGGCGAGGGCATATGTGTATACTATATAAATGCCAGGGAGATAAACCCTCTTGATAAGCGCGTAACATTATTAACCAAACACACACACGCACACGTATATATATATATCTCTTTCAAACACATGCACACATACAGATAGACGGCGACATATCCAGGTGGATTGCTTTATTATTGTTATCATGACGCCGAAAATTCGGTTTCTAATACTTTTATTTGCTTTACAAACTTTCTGCCGTCTGTCGACAACAACAAGAATGGGATAACCATTATATAAATGTAAATATGTGCTGGTTTATATATGTACATAATATTTATCTATAATACAATATACAGTTAACTAAGATAAGCTTTTTGTCGTCGCTGTCGCTGTGGTTGTGTGTTGCCGTTGTTCCATTTCTAGATATAAAAAAAAGGAATAAACGAACCGAGTCGAACCGAGGTTTTCGTATTTTGATTATATTTTTTATTTAATTTTCAACATCAGACATATCGTTCTCATTCACACGAAAGCCACAAAAAAAAGGGAATAATAATAATAATAATAGCAAACGGAAAGCGGAGCAACAGAACCTCATTTTTGTGATAAGATAAAAATCAAATTAATTAACAGCCTTTTAAGCAAACGCACACAAACACTCGCAAAAATACCTGCATATACACGGTGGGAAAAAACGTCAGCTGATGTCGGAACTTATCGTTCTGTAATTGTAAATCTCATGGTAAGATCAGGGGATCTCAAGGCTATCTTTAGAACAAGATGAAACTCTTGAAATTAATGGTTCGTTGTCGTAATCCCTTTTTTCAATTCCATAGTACAAAAGATTTCCTTTATGTTTTATTTTTAATATATTGTATAAGTCTTATTAATATAGTCTTTTTCATTTGGTACTTTAATTATAATGGTCTTGCAAGTTAATAAACTAAAAAATATTTTCTTCCTTCAAGATATAATACTGCTCTAAAACAACATAAAAGGATCTAAGCTTTAAGATTTGTGTTTTCTCTAATTGATTTGGGAATTAATTATTGATCCTCATTTTTTTAGCACCCGTTTCTCCCTGTGTATATGCACCAAACTGCTTATCTCTTTCGCTGCCATTCAGACCTGCCCTCATTCACTGCTCTTTTATGCTCGCAGAAACAAAAAAAAAATTGGTTAATATTAAATTTACTAGACATTGTCCTTTTTCGCCACCCAAAGTTATTTAGTCTAGTTTGAGATTTCCCTGGTTTGTGACGTCATTGCGGGCGCCTACCTTCTTGGAGCGATCCCGCTGACGATCGCCCAGCTGCGTGGCCGCCAGGAGCTCGCTGATCTGGCGCTCCCGTTCGCGATCCCCCCGCTCGAAGTCCTCCTCGTCGGGATCCTCGAGATTGTCCTCCTGCTCGTGCTCCTCCTCTTCCTCCTCCTCCTCATCCTCCTCCTCCTCCTCCCCGCTGAGGCTGCTGCTCTGCGTGCTGCTCTTCCTGGCCAGCGCCACTCGGATGCCATTCACAATGCACTCGCCTCCGTCCAGGGCGGAAATGGTGGAGCCACAATAGTATAGGTTACTGCAACTACTGGCCGCACTGACATCCGACTGGCCTTCGTCCTTGGCGCATCCCGGTGCCATTCCCGCCGTTCCCGCATGTCCACCATGGCCTCCGTGTCCGCCATGACCATGTCCCGCTTCCAGGGAACAGCGACGCTGGCAACGCGCCCGCTGCAGCCGAAAGTACTCCATCTCCTCCATGCTAATCCCGCAGGCGGTTATGTCGTCGGAGTAGTCGCTGACCACCACTGAGGGTGTGCGTACATAGCGCACGCCCAGGGGCAGTCCACTGCCCCCCAGTTCGCTGTAGGAACTGTGGGTGGATTCGCGTCGCGATCCCGGTGCGGCCACCACCACTCGCTCCTCCAGCAGTACCTTGGTGGGCACACCCACGCAACTGGAGTTGGCTCCGCCGGTGGGCGATGTCAGGGGTGAATCCGGCAGGGCTGTGGGTTCGGCCAGGGGCAGAAGTGCCGGTCGCAGGGGCAAATCCGTCACCGTGAGCGTCATCCGGCGTTGGGGTGGCGGCATCACCACATCCATGCCACAGCCATCGTCCACATCCAGACCCAGGGCGGAATCACTGCTGGCACAGCGTGTGACCTTGAGCTTCTGCTGGCGCGGGGATAGGCCATTGTCCTCGTTGTCACTGCTGTAGGGACTCAGTCCGCCGCCGGTGACATTACATCCCTCATCCGAATTGGAGGCAGTGGCTCCGGGCAGGGCCTTATGCTCCCCCTCGGTCATCTGTTGCTGCTGCTGTTGCTGCTGGACAATCATGGCCTGGAACTGGTCGATCAGCTGTTGCACCGGCTTGCCTGGTTCCGTCTTGCTGGTGGGGTAAGCAGTGCGGTAAGAGGTGCCGTGAGTGGTGCCTCTGGTAGTGCGTTGGCAAGTAGTACTTCCGGTGCCGAAAAAGGCCGCTTTCAATTGAGCCTTGCGAAGGGCCAACTTGTTGGGGAGCTCTTCACATGGATTACCACCGCCGCAGATCTCGTTTATTCCGGTTATATTCTGCTCACTTTTTTTGTGGGTGGGTGGTGTTTTAGTTTTAGCTCCAATCTGCTCCGCTGTTCGCTGATAACTGAACGCCGTTGCCTCTGCCGCCGGCCATTTATTTTCAATTTTAACCGTTGTCGTTGTCGCTTTCGACGTCTCTGCCAGCGTCGCTGCCGGCGTAGGCGTCACCGTCGACGGCGGCGTCGTTATCTTTGGCATGACATCGAATTGGAAAGCGGGGGCGTCAGACGTTCGCGAAACCGTTCCCGAACCGTCGCACGCACTCATCTCACATGGATAATGGGGTGATCGAGGGAAGGGGTGATTGGGGAAGGGGGTTTGGAAGGTGTTCAGAAAGGGTGACAGGTGGGTATTGGGAAGGAAAGAAGTATCTGAAACTAGTGACAAGGTTAGGGATTCGTGAAAAGGATGATCTTACAAAGGAATGAAAATGAACAGTGCATGGGATAGAAAATAGTGTTTCGAAAATAATGTTTTGAAGGGGGCTTTTAATATAGAAAGTAAAACAATAAAAAGTTGATCGAAAGAACATGTAAACGTAAAGGAAATTTAAAAATAAATAAATGGGAGAAGTGAAAATAAAGTGCAGAGTTAAAGTAGAAAACGGAAAATGGTGAGCTAAGAGGAGAGTTAGAGTCAAAGGGAAAGAGAAAGAGAAAATGGGGAGTTAGAGATAAAGATGGTGATAAGGGAAGGATGATGAAATAGAGTTTCTACTGAATAATGGTAGGCAACGTCCGTAAAAAATGGTAAAAATTATATTTTAAGGCGTTGAGGAACTATTCCTCTTGTGGGGAAGAGTGATTTAGTATGAAGAGTAAGTTTAGGAAAGAGAGAGTTTGGAAAATAAGTATAGGAAAGAGTGCAAGGAGTTAGACTTTAGTTAAAAAGGGAAAGAGGTGGTGGAAAACGATGTGAGGCCGAGATCCCGTGACTCGATGCTAACGCCGCTGCTAAGGTAAATTCCACCGAAATTTTAAAGGTGAAAATTACTGTGGACTGTGGAATCCCCGGCAAACATTCTACGTCCGCACTTTCCGAATGGCACCTGTGCGCTGCCGTCGTTGAACTGAAATCGCTTTCTGCGGCTCTGCAGCTCTGCCTCTCTGCCCGTTTTCCAAAGGGGCGGGGAAGAAGAATCGCGGAGAATTGAGAGGAGAAGAGCTGAGAAGTGGAGGAGGAGTAGTGTGGTGTGTGGAGAGGAGAGGAAAAGCAGCTGTTGCGGGCGGGCTTATTATTGTTGATAGTTTTTTGTTTAATTTTATTTATTTATTTTTTGTCGTTCCGTCGCTTTGCCACTGTTCTCGAAATTCAAAGAGGTTTGTGGGGAGAAGGGGGGAGGGGTAATTGTAATTGTGATCTTGAAACGTTGACGCAATGTGCAATGATCCCGCACGTACACACGCATACACCGGTAACTGCTCCAATTGGCGCGCGTAATTGTAAATTGCATTTGAGCACAGAGCACACTCGCACACACACTCGCACACTCGGCAGACGCACGCACGCACACCAGCACACACAGTGACAGACTGACAGACGATGCGACCCAATGCAATAAAGCAGCAGCACCACTACCAGCACATAATCACCACCACACACACAATGTCACACAGATACTGACGCACAATGGGACAAATCGGTGATTTATCGCTTGGGGTGACTAGTGAAATATTCCCACAAAACAATTAAAACAAAAATTATTATGGCGCTTACGCAAATACGCAAGTAAATTGCCAGACAAACAGTTCAAGTTAAGGAATAATACATTTTGACATTTTCATAAATATCCTTATCATGTAAGAGACAATAGGTTAGTTTTGTTATTATAAACATATCAAATCCTATAAATGATTGGTATTTAAGGAAAATGTGGTACTAAGAACACTGTATGTATGTATATATATTTTATCACAAATACAAATATTTGTAGCTTTAAAGAAAATTTTCTTGTTAAGAGCCTTTTCATTATGGTATTATTAATAAAGAAAAACATTCTGAAAATGGTTGCGATTAAATTCCTCAAAAACCAAACCCGGAACAGTCTACTATAATGAAACTGCTTGCGCACATGACTTACGAAATAAGTCAGTATAGCTTAACCACAAACCAACGACCTACGTCAAAACTGATTGTAGTTGCAGAAATTCCGTTGCAAAATGCAAATTTTTTATGAGTTTCAAGAAATACTATATTTACGTACATTCTATAAGTAGTCGATAAAATTGTCAAGTCACTTTAAAAATGGCTCTTAGGCAACAGATTTTTTTGAGAGGAGTTTGGTTAAGGTATAACAAAAACGACAACACACAAGAAAATAAAACCCAATTTCCAATTTCCCATCGACAGGTTCGTTGTCTAAAGTTATTACCAGGTTTTTGTTACGCCCGGAATCTCTATGATAGCACGTGATTCACTGGTTGCGAAATTCCCACCCATGGGGATGATGATGATACGATGGCCATTAAATGTTTATAATGATGATGATGTAGGTGGATGGGCGGCCCACGGTGCGGCATCGCACTTTGTCCAAAACGCCAGCGGCAATGACGTCAGTGGGCGACGAACAACGCAGACGCAACAGCTCAGACAGAGGCAGCGAGATGGCAGACAGAGAGGGGGGATGATGATTACCAAGTAGACAAGGGCGCGGTGATTATTCAACTCCTTACCGCACCCCCAACGAAGCTCCCCCTCCCTGATGCGGTATAAATAACAAGGGGCAATTAAAAATGCAATTTTTTTCCTTTTATTGTTTTATGTGATTTTCTGTCTTTTTTGTTCTGGCACTGTGTGCGTTGTGTTGTTTCTCCGACTTTTTCATATACATGCATATAAATTTATATTATTTTTTTTTTTGTTAACTGACAAGACGCACGGACGCTAGTTGCTGACGCTGATAGGCACCGGCGGAGTGACGTGGTAACAGCTTAAAGTAAGACACCCCCCAGCTCTTCTGCGGTTGTGAAATCAAAACCACTTTAGGTTTACACACCTGCGATTGAGATCGATATACGGCTAAGTTTTGTGCTCGGGCAATTACGTCAATGCATTTGACGAGAGGCGCGAGTAGAGTAGCAAAAAAGTAAACAGAAAACAAAAAAAAAAGTTAGGTGCAAATAAAAATAGTGAAGGATAATGACCAGTTGCATTCTCGTATTCTCGTAACGCTCAACGCTTTTGCCCCACTGACCAAAATCGTAGTTCCGAAGCTTGAAAAGCTCACAAAGTCTCTCAAAGACCAAAGCTACCAGATCAGCTATTTTCCAGATAGATGTACTTTGTGTAATAAGATAGATTCTATAAGATACTTTTGTATGCCATCTCCTTCATATAGGTTTATCTAATATCCATCACATCTAACTCACACTTTTTAACAATAATATTTATTTTATTCTAATATTACTCTTTATATTACCAAATATTATAATCAGGTAAAGTATTAAACTTTATCAGTACAGTAAGAGCATAATATTCAGTAACTTATAAATTTAAATAATTAATGTAATTTGAAATGTAGTCTTTTGTACTTTTGCTATGGATATCCGTTAGGAATCTTTTAAAAACCTAACTTATACCAAACACAATTTACAAATTGCTTAGGAAATAATGGCTTGATTTATTATTGATTTTCTCAAAAAATTAATCATACGCCACGTGACGTAAAACTTCACACACAGCCCACACAACGTATGAGTAATTTATTTTTCCAGAGAAAAATACCTATAATATGACAAAATCGAACTCTCACTATCTTAAACTGTTGCGCAATAAAATTATTTAAAGCAGAAAAATATCGTTTTTAATGGTATAGAAACGTATTTAAACATTACTCATACGACACGTACACCAAGTGCCATTTATTATTATATTTAAAATGCGAGCTGAGCTGTTAGGATAGGAATCTTTAATGAGCTTGCATATATTAACCTATATTAATATCATATAAAGGGGGAAAACATCAATAATATTCCATAATAATGATCTGTGACTGGATAGAGCACCTTAAAAGCCGCGGTATCTAAACTTTAGAAATAAGCGATTAACATGTACATATGTTCTGTTTTTAAAATAGAAATTTTCCAAATAAATGTCTGGCTTTGTAAAGCTTTGATTCCCGCTGAAAGCACCTATTTTCCGCCCAAAACCCGACAGCACTGCCTTATACCGAGCTTACAGGCCAAGAGGAAAAGAGAGAAGAACAGAGAGCGGAGAAAAGGTGCTGGCCCAGCCATAAACTTTGCACATTTGCTTTTGGGCGCTATCCATGTTTTATGGCCATAAGCACACACACACTCGGGCACACACATACACACACTACTACGTTTTCCCAAAATGGTAAAAACGGGCCATTTGACGCGCGCATTCGCACACGCGTGAATTGTGTGCCGTTTACTGTTGTTCGCTCTATTGCCATTTCATTCACTCCGGTTTAGATGTTTTTGGATTTTTTTTAGGCCTGACATTGATATGATATCGTATATCGTATTGTGCCTGTGCGTGTCTGTGTGCTGTCAGGGGCTTGAATTGGATTATGGTCCGGATTTGGTGGCTTTAGTGGTGCTGGCACATGCTAATTACATTGCTGATTCGCTTTTGCCGCTTTTCGGCTGTCCGTTCGCCCGGCGCTTTTTTCTAACGGTCGGCGCGAGAGGCGACAATCCGGCGCAGGCGTTGCACACTAACTGAAATTCGAAATTCGGCGACTCCGGGGCCAGGAGGCTTGGCCGCCTCACCTGTCTCAGCTGTCGCACCTGACCGATCCGAGCTGCCAACAATCTGCGCAGCACTAGCAATTATAATTTAGTGCTCGCTCCGAAGCTTGCCAAACCCCCGGCAAATGAGCTACCGTAATCACCTACTATAGAGCAGGATAGTAGTAACCAAATAATAAAATATACACATGAACAGTTCACTTTACTTTTGCAGTTTATATATTAATTTTACTTACTTTCAAGTGGCGCCCGAGCAGGAACCTGTTTACCTCTCTATGATCCGCTAATAGTATATCATTTGTTGCTGATGTTTGTAATCCAAAGATCTTAAAATATAAAAAAGTACATTCCTCTAATTTTTGTAATTTCCTGATGTAAGTTTTCGTAAATCAAGCTTAGGGTCCTATGCCCGAGGAGGGGCAATCAAATCTTTAAAAATATATGCACCTTTCCCCCACTGCTGTTAAAAATATCATTTGGCCAAAATAAAAAGGCACCATTTCAAAATTGGCATTGCTATCGTAAAAATACTGATATTTTAAAGCTAAAAATGATCAATATTCAATTTTTCACATTTTTCAAAGGGTTTTCATCAAAATTTTTCTCAAAAATTTTACAAAAAAAGTTGTGAATGCCACTCGATTGGAAATTTTGCTACGAGTTCAACAAGGTATGCCATTCCATTATTGGACCATTATTTGCATTGCTATGGTAAAAATACTGATATTTTTAAGCTAAAAATGATCAATATTCAATTTTTCACATTTTTCAAAGGGTTTTCATCATCATTTTTCTCAAAAATTTTACAAAAAAAGTTGTGAATGCCACTCGATTGGAAATTTTGCTACGAGTTCAACAAGGTATACCATTCCATTATCGGACAATTATTAGCATTGCTATCGTAAAAATACTGATATTTTTAAGCTAAAAATGATCAATATTCAATTTTTCACATTTTTCAAAGGGTTTTCATCATCATTTTTCTCAAAAATTTTACAAAAAAAGTTGTGAATGCCACTCGATTGGAAATTTTGCTACGAGTTCAACAAGGTATACCATTCCATTATCGGACAATTATTAGCATTGCTATCGTAAAAACACTGATATTTTAAAGCGAAAAATGATCAATATTCCAATTTTTCACATTTTTCAAAGAGTTTTCATCATCATTTTTCTCAAAAATTTTACAAAAAAAGTTGTGAATGCCACTCGATTGGAAATTTTGCTACGAGTTCAACAAGGTATACCATTCCATTATCGGACAATTATTAGCATTGCTATCGTAAAAATACTGATATTTTTAATTATTAGCATTGCTATCGTAAAAATACTGATATTTTTAAGCTAAAAATGATCAATATTCAATTTTTCACATTTTTCAAAGGGTTTTCATCATCATTTTCCTCAAAAATTTTACAAAAAAAGTTGTGAATGCCACTCGATTGGAAATTTTGCTACGAGTTCAACAAGGTATACCATTCCATTATCAGACAATTATTAGCATTGATATCGTAAAAACACTGATATTTTTAAGCGAAAAATGATCAATATTCCAATTTTTCACTTTTCACATTTTTCAAAGGGTTTTCATCATCATTTTTGTCAAAAATTTTACAAAAAAAGTTGTGAATGCCACTCGATTGGAAATTTTGCTACGAGTTCAACAAGGTATGCCATTCTATTATTGGACCATTATTTGCATTGCTATGGTAAAAATACTGATATTTCGAGCGAAAAATCATTAAAAATGAAAAAAAAACATGTCAGTTCTTATTCCGTTCATGACATTTATTTGAAATAAATTATTATTAACTTCATAAATTTAATGAATCCGTGTTTTTCTAAACCGCAAATCCCTTGGACTTCTTAAGCAACGAGACCACATTTTAGTTGCTACGTTTTCCTTTAAAGGATTCAAATAAATAAAACTAAACAACCATTTTAAACAAATTAGTTTTGACTTTATTTGCATAAACACAACTTGGAAACTATTTTATCAGCGTAAGTGTTGTCACAAATTACAAAATATAGCCTTGCTGCTGTGTCTGAGTGTGTGATTGTGTCTAGTTTTTAGAGTTAGTTTTGGGGGATTTTAGGTATTCGGGGAGTGTTTAACCTGAGTAAGAAGCGCATATGTCTTTCGCGGCTCCCAAAGAAGTGAAAATGTTTCACAATTAAAAATGTATATGTTATAGTGGAAACAAAGTTAGTTAGTAGTAAAACAACTGAAGCAGGAGTAGGTTTGTCTGGTGGGTGGGATCCGGATCGGCCTTCACCGGTGTCGTCGCTCCCGCTCTTCATAGTGTTCGTTGTGCCGGCTCTTGCTGCTGCGCTCATAGCACCCTCCACCGCCGTCGCGCTTGCGCTCATGCCGCTCAGAGCGGTGGCGACTCTTGCTGCGACTTCTGCTCCGGCTACGCGAATTTTGTCTGTGCTTGTGCTTTCTCTTGTGCTTGCTGCGGTGGCGATCGTAGTCCTTTTCCTTATCCCGCACTCGATCTCTCTCCCTTTCGCGTTCACCGCCCGAACCATAGGGCATCTGTGGCAGCAGCGGCGCCGGTGGGTAGTCCTCGTAGCCACCTCGTCCACGGGCGTGGGACGAGCCCGAGGAGGCGGCATAATAGTCACGATCATCATGATCGTTGCGGTAGTTAATTGGTGGTGGGTAGGCGTTGGGTCGGGAGCCAGATCCCGCCATGGCATGTCCGCCGCCACGAGCTCCTCCGCCGCCGTTGCCTCCACGATCCATGCCAGCACCTCCCTCTTGGTACTCCTGGTAGTCCGCATCCTGGCCAGCGGCTCCTTGACCACCGCCACCGCCAGCGCCCTGACCCGCTGCCGACCGGCCCGTGCTCAGCTGGTTAACGGTCAGACCCTGCTCCCTGCAGTACTGCTCAATCTTCTTCTCGATCTGCTTCTGAATGGGCACGGGGATGCGCGGGAAGAGCGTGGAGAACCAGTCCAGCTTGGTCATAAACTGATAGACCATCTGTCCGATGCTTAGTACCTGAAAATTTCCCAGTTAGTGGATAGTTCGCTCAACGGGAGTGCTGGGGTACGTGTGATTGGTGGCTCATACAGTTGACTCACCTGGCCGCCGCCCGCCTTTACGTCGATCTCCTCCTCGTCCTGCAGATAGTCCTCATACCAGTCGTACAGGTCACTCGGCGGCTGCGTGTATCGCAAGTACATGAAACCTAAGGGCGAGACAGTTGGTATTAGAGCTGTGTCAAAGAATCCAATCTGTGTGGTTGGCCAAAGGAGGTGTTTTATGGCAGGGTGGTTCGATTTGTTTGACGGAGAATTCTGGAGACACAGGCATTTAAAGGTTAAAATATATACTTATTTATTGTAAAAACAATTCTTCATTTCCTGAAGCCAAAATAAACAATAAATTATAATTTTTTGAATTGCCTTATGCATGTTTTATGAACTCTGTTTTTAAATAATTCAATTTCTGGAGGAAAATTCGGCATAAATATGCATGAAGGTATTTAGAAAACATGTAAACATAGGAAATATTAAGTTCTGAAAGGGAAAACAGTTTAAAATTTGTAATAGGTATTTGATTTCCAAAAAACATATTTTTTAAAAGGCAAATTAAGAATAGAGAAATGTTTCCTTAATTTTAATTTGAGACATTCTGAAAAGGCTGGGATTGAAAAATAAAGATTTCTCTATGCATGCTTTATGAAATGCTTGGGGAACCTCAGCATAAACATGGAATGAAGGTAATCAAATAATTTAAAACAATATACATAAGTGTTCTCACTTTACAAGTAGGATAAGGTTTACCTTCGCAGGCAGATGTAAAGAGAAGCTATGTCCTCTTCTCGTCTTTCGCTTTGCAAATGGAGAAGGCACAACTTGAAATAGGAATTGAAAACGGGCTTGTTGTTCAATCCATAGAATACCTCCACCACGCTTTCGGCTGGCTTTCTATTATAGTTTGCAACCGTCCAAATCGACCCACCCTGGTTGTTTTCATTGGGGTGATGTTGTGTGGTGTGCTGAGGGAGCAGAGCAGGAGCAAGCGACGGCATATGTGACGGCTGAACTCATGCGACTTACCAACACCTACCTAGTGCGCGGATGTAGGCCGAGTCTGTGTGGTTGAGCAGTCCGTTGATCTGCTTCCGGGTCAGTCGCAGCGTGTATAGCTTGTAGAGTAGGCAGTACGCCGTGGACACGATGCCGCCGGCGCCAACGCCGCGCACCTGGATAGATTAGGGGACATAGATAAGTACAAAAGCACGGCGGATAACTCCAAGCATCGCCAACGATTAGCGCTACATTTCATAAACCACTCACACCGCCGCACATGCCCGTTTGGCCGGACGTTTTGCGGGATCCACGCTCCCAGGGCTCCATGTGCTTCACCTGGTAGTAGATCTCGTCGACCACTTCGTGATAGGTTTTCAGCTTGAACAAGTGGACTGCAGTGAGAAAAAGGCGGGTTAAGCGAGGCGCGCTGGAAAACACAGGCAGTACGCACCTTTGAAGTAACTGGAGCTCTGGATGTTGGCCAGGATCAGGGGATTCAGGTTCATCGAGTTCTCGTTGCCCCAGAAGGGCAGCGTGTTGTGCTGCTTGCCCACGCCGGCCTTCTTGCCACCGCCGCCGCCGGCCGAAGATGACGCCGAATAATCTGCGCGAGACGCCGCTATCAATAAAAATGCTAGCGCGGATTGAACCAATCTCATCCACTTACCTTCGTCCATGCCTACTAATCTTCCAGAACTGGGGGCATCAATTTCACGGCTGCCGGAGGTATGTGCGCGCGGGAAAGTGCGAAAAATGCACGCACTATTTGCAACTTTACGTGCGAGAAAATGCCTAAATTGGCGATGTGTATGCGTTAGCTGTCGTTATCGCTGTGTCATCGATAACGCTAGAGCGGGCTACTTTTAAGGTCACATCTTAGGCCGTGACCGTTCACCGTCAGTCACGCTTTTAAGGATTTCACTATTTTCAAGAGCAACGACTTGTTTTTTCGATTTGATACAACGAAAACTTCTCGTATTTCCCAAAGATATTTTAATTTTAAAAATGAAACTCTATAGAATTTATCAAATATTTTGTTTATTTGTTAGTCATCTCTTATGTTTCAATGCAATTGTACTTATTTTATGTTTCAATGCAATTTCTTGGACTAACTTATTTAGTCCAATTTATGTTTCAATGCAATTTCTTGGACTACCTTATTTAGTCCAATAAATGGCAATTGAAACATAAAATAAATACAATTGCATTAAAACATAAGATATGACTAACAAATAAACCATAACATTTACAAACCCTTCAATTTACCACATAAACGTATGGCTTATAAAAAAGCATTCGGCTACTGTAATTATCAATAACAAAAAGATTTATAGAAATTTATAAAGATCCGGATGTTACATTTTGTGGATTTTTTTCTTTCATAATCAAGATTAAAATGTACACTTTCACTTAAAAAACATTTAAGTCCAATGGTATATAGGAATTAAAAAATATTTAAGTGACTTGGAGAGTGACCAGTCTAATCAAATAAAAGTTTTTTTGTCATTCGCGAGGAGGTCACACTTCCCCAACTGAATCCAATCCGAATCCGCATCTTCTCATCCGCATCTGCATTCCGCTGCCGAGGAAGAGCACCCAGTGGCCAATCCGCCGACCATGTCGCCCAAATACACGCACGCGATTGTGGCCAGGTGAGTGAAGTCCAGATCCTCCGGAAGTCGGGGATTGGAGCATCCGGATAAGGGAGTGCCCCAATGGCGGGGAATTAGGTCACCTAGCCATTCGTTCGTGGGTACACATGCCCGTGGGTGGGGCTGCACCTCCCAACCACCCAATTCCTGGAGACCTGGATCCAGGATTCATTGGGTATCTGAGGATTATCCCTGTGCCTTTCTAATGATCCAAAAGTTTATAGTGAAGTTATTTAAAATTTATTGTATCCTTTTAATACATTGTAAATAAACTAGTTTATTAAGGATATGAATAAAAATCTTAGTTTAAAAACATTATGAGAAACTGTAAACTTTCTTTTAAGCTAGTTTCTATGTTATTCTATTTGTAATAACATTTTCAAAACATGAAAATATTTATTGTAATCTATTAAAAACTGAAATATTTATTGTAATCTATTAAAAACTGCATTTAAACATTAATATATTTATGGTATGGAAATCAAAAAGAGACAAAATCAGAATTTATCAAAATAAAAACTGTATTTTAATATCGAGTTAATATATTTAAGTAAATCAAATTGCTAAAATATCTGGTAATTTAACTCATAGCATTTGTATTCCTCAAACCTCTATTTCGTAATACTGATTAAATTATTTAATAGGAAATGATTCATAAATTAGAAGCAAACCATAATTAACTTACTGGAAATCCTATAATTCAAATAACAGATAAACATATATCATACATTCACAGTGGGTTCAACGACCCTGCAATGATTCTCGATACTTACTCTATAAATAGGTTTAAAAAAGAGTAGCTATATACATACCATATATATATCACACTCTCAGTTTAATATATCGCCTCCTCAACCCCAATTAATTGAACCATTGTTAAATCCACTTTAAATCCGCCGTAGAATCTCGGACGCCCTGCTGGAGAACGGGGAGTTCGACGTGCAGCTGGCCAAGCAGCAGCACGAGCAGTACTGCACCCTCCTGAGGACCATTGGCCTGGACGTGATCGAGCTGCCCCCGGATGACCAGCTGCCCGAGGGCGTCTTCGTGGAGAACAGCGCCGTGATCTGCAACGGAGTGGCCCTGATCGGGAGATCGGAGCATGCCAAGCGGCGACGCGAGGCCGAGAGCATGGCCATTATCCTCAAAAAGGAACTGGACATACCCGTCATCGAGATTGAGGAGCCGCATGCACTGCTCGATGGAGGCGATGTGCTTTTTACGGGTACTTTCCTTTTGCACCAAAGTCCCTTTGCCTGTTTAATTTCATCATCATTAATATCATTTCAGGACGGGAGTTCTTCATTGGAATCTCTGGTTTTACCAATGAGGAGGGTGCCCGGGCGGTGGCCATGGCGTATCCTGAGTATCCTGTAACGCCGATTCGGGTATATTACAATGTCTATAAAGATGATCTTTTAAAACTTCCTGTATTTATTTGCAACACCATTTCTTGGTACAAGTATCTTAACCGAATCTATCTGTTTTAAATTTGAAATGCTCCTTTTTAAAGGTACTGATCTTAGATTATTACATTCTTTATAAATAATCTTATTTAAATCGTACCATTACTATTTAACGTTACGATGAACATGTTCATTATCCTGCATATTTTTAAAACATCTACATACACAACTCTTAATATCTTTTAACTCCCATCCCGAGTTTATTTATTCGGTTGTCTTCAAAGATCCTATAATCTGTTCGTATTTATTTAACGACACGTTTTTCTTTGTGCGCCAACCTTATATGCATATATTATAATAATCTGCGGTACCCATCCCATCCAGGTGAATGGTGCTAGGAGGCTGAAGTACTATGTGACCATGGCTGGCCCGGATGTGCTGTGCGTGAGCAATAGTCCCACCTGTCAGGAGATCGTTAAGCGGATGGAGCGGGAGGCCAGCTTTACCTACCAAAAGTTGACCTTGCCGGAGGAGATAGCGGCCAATATGCTGTACATAAACGGAACGATAGTACACAGATCGCCGATGGAAATTCCAGAAGCCTACAAGGTCAGCATCATCGCCACCCCGTTCTAATTGAACCGCATGCTAATTGATCTTTCTATTGTTTTCGCCTTTCGGACAGACTTTAAAAGAGAAAATCGACATTCCAACACGCAACATAAACATTAGCGAATTTAGCCAATACTCCAGTGGACTGACCTCGTCGTGTTTGTTGCTGCGACGCTGGAAGTCCATACGCAGCCTGTGAATCTCAGGGAGCTGAGAGGATCACCTAGCCCGGAGTGAGGAGAATTGCCATGAGAAACATGCACAACAGGCCCTGGAGCAGGTTGCATTCCCTGCCCTGCCCAGGCATCAGCAATATCGTATTATCTTATTATAGTTTATACACATCTCTTGTTATTGTTACAACCTAAAATTAAACCTCTAACGCTAATCAATCTGATTATCAAGGCAGTGCTGGCGATGCTACTTTCCAACTCAATGTTACCCTATAGGTTGTGTAATTTAATCAGAGTTAGAAAGTGGCGTCAGCCTCATCGAGATGGTCAGCATTCCTTCACTCACACTCCATGACGATGTTGAACGGATATCATTGTATTATTATGATAAAATTGCTATTATAAATTGTATCTACTTTACAAGTAGTTTGTTGAATGTGTTCAGTGTCTGTCCTCGAAATAAATGCAACATTTGTAATCTCTTTATAAACTTTAAAATGCCACCAAATGTCTAGTTATTGGGTGGAAAGATGATCTATCTACAAACATGATAAATACCAGGAAAATAACAGTGGTTTTAAGTGAACATTTCATTTATTTATATCTAAATATAAACTTAGCCTACATTTAAATGCATTTTGCTTTACCAAAATTTAAAATTTATTAAATGTGTGTAGGACATTTGGGGTGGGGCGTGGTGGTTCCTAGCCATTTTGATGAAATGCAGAACGATCTAGCCTAGTGATCAGCTAGTGAACTCTGGTTGGATGAAGTTTTTCTCCGGTGAATATGAAACTGGGTGGGCTCAGTGGAGTAATACTAGTCATAATAAATAGTGGGAAGGAGGGGGGACTTACTATAATTACAAGTTCAGTTAGCGGCATTTTGAGTGGGCGAACTTAGGGTATATGCACTCTCGACATATAATAGTACAAATCATACATCAGTGAGTGTCAGTGGGTGGGGTACAAAGCTTGGTGCGGGAATACTTTGGCATTGGCACGTCGTTAACCTTCCGATTGCCGGCCAAGCGAGGAGGACTGGGTAGGTTTCCGGTTTCTGGGTGCTACATATCTTGTATATATTCTATATACATCTAACTAGGGGCTGGGGTGGGCTGAGTGGGTTGAGCTAGCTGGGAAAGGGGCGCGGCTCGTTGGCGGCCCTGGGATCGATGTACGAGATCACGCTGCTCTGGCTGCTATCATCCTCTATTGTCTCGTTGAGATTTTCGTTGTGGGAATTGCTCAGCGGCTTGGCGGCTTCCATCTCCTTCTCACGTTCTCGCTCTCTTTCTCTTTCGAAACGCTCGATGGTCTCCTGTTTGCTCCTCAACGGACTGCGGCATTTGATGGCCTCGTACAGCTCATCGATGGAGGTGTCCTGGTCGTGATCGTGATGGTGATCCTGCTCGGGATCTCCAGCCACCCGCTCACCTCCCGTGGCGGCCACGAACTCATCGTCGAACTCGTTCAGCACATCCACATCCGCATCGCTGGCATTCGAGGATTGATAGCAGCGGAAATCATCGGTTAAGGTCAGATTCAGATCGTTGTCCGCCTGGGGAGCATACAGTCCATGACTACGGATGCTGATCTCCGAGTTCTGGTAGTTCAGATCGCTCTCGTTCGTCGGACTGCCGGACAGCAGGCGGCCATCGTCCTCCGTGTCCACCGATGCCGTCGGATGGTGCGCCTTTAGCTGGCTGAGATTGCTGCTGGAGCACGAGTACACCTGACGCAACTGCTGCTCCTCCAGCGTGCTGACCTCGTTGGCGGACAGCTGGCCGGAATCTTCCTGGTCGCCCAGGCTATCCAATCCGGACGAGTTAACGCCTCCCGCGCCGGCCAGCATTTCACTGATATTATTCAGCGACTTGGATTGTTGCTGCTGACTGAAGCGGATTAGGACACTGGGAAAGTCATCTTCCAACTGGATGCTATTATTGGTCGTGACCTGCAGCGAGTTGGACACATATATCTCGTGCTTCTGGAGGAGCGGCTCTTCGAGGCTGACTTCCGGCAAGCCCAAGCTGTTCATGGCCTCCAAGCTGGGCTGTTTGACGGGCGTGGAGCTGATTGGTTGATGGGAGGATCCTCGGTTCCGGAAGAGGCTGCTCATCCCGCTGGCTGGTGGCAAGGTGTTGGCATACAATGGAGCGTGTTCGTCCAGGGAACTGGCATCTTCCTCCTCCAGCTCAGGCTCCGGTTCCTCGACCGTGGCCGCCGCCTGCGCGTGTTCCTCCTCCTCCTCTTCGTCGTCATCCTGCTCGTGCAGCGTTTCATCCAACAAGGAAGGGGTCCTGGTGCGACCATTGGCTCTCAGTTTGATCACCTCGTGCTGGGGAGTCAACGTCTCCGGGATATTGGTGTAGATATTGGCCTGCATGATCTTGGACGCCGAAGAGGCGCTGGCGGGCACAAAACGCTTAAACTGCATGGAATCCCCTCCAGAACCCATGCCCATTCCGTGTTCCTTGGGAGCTCCAGCCATGGGCGAACCCTGGTTCTTGTAATGCAGATTGGTGTTGTTTATCTTGCTGCCACCCGCCAGCAGAGTCATCGCATTGTGGTGTCTACTGTACAGCTGCTCCGAACTGGCATCGCTCAAGCTGTGCTGGCTGTGGAGCTGCATTTGCATCTGCATCTGGAGCTGCATCTGCGGCATCGTCTGGCGCTGCAGCTCGAAGTTGTTGCGCTTGGCCAGGCGCTTCTGCTTCTTGAAGAACTTTCGGGCCACGTTGATCTGGTTGGGATTGTAGAAGATCTCCGCCGAGGGTATGAGGTCGTGGCTGGAACCATGGAGCAGGGCATTCAGGCTGTGAGGTGGCACTGCTCCTGCCCCACCACCAGATACCCCGCCAGCTGCTCCACCTCCGATTCCCGATCCTTGCTGGCCGCTGGTGTTGTTTATGATCGTAACGCCACTCGCTCCATTCGCCTGAAGCAGCTGCTCCTGCTGGCTCCTCGTTTGACTCCTCGTCTGGCTGCGCATGCTCCTGGAGCACTGGCTATTCGAACGTGATCCCGCCGAGTTGTTGGCCTCATACAAGCTGCCCGGTCCGGGATTCGCCTTGTAGGCCACAATCGAGTTGCTGATCATGGCCGTTCCGGGTCCGGGCATTATTCCCGACGGATGCGCGCATCTCGCCTGGCTGCCATTGTTGTAGGTCACCAGTTTCGTGGGCCGGCTGCGTCCATCTCTGCCCTGCGACCACGCCTGACGCGCATCATTCCGGCTCAGGTTGTAGAAAATCAGCAGGAAAATGCCCAAACACGAACAGCAGCCGGCAAAGGATATAACATAGAGCTCCTGGCCGCCACTTACGTAGGCAGCGGCGGATAGCCAGGCGCCGGCATACAAGACCAGGAATATAAAGTGACCACGCAAGTGGGAAAGATTCGAGCGCTCGAAATCGTCGACAATGCTGCTCAGCGGATTGCTCAGCGTACTGTACTGCTCCTGCATGTGATCCTGCTCCTTGCGACCGCCGTGATTGTTGGAACCGCCTCCAATCGCCGCCGTGGTGGCACTGCCGTTCGCATCCAACCAATCCAGATCGATGTGCTCCGTGGCCTGGGTGTTGTTGTCCGAGTACTGACGATGCTGCTGCTGTTGCATTTGCAGCTGCAGCACATTCACCGCCTGCTGGCTCAGTTGGTAGTAGATGCACAAGGCCAAAATGCCGCAGAAGATCACGAGGATTACGGCAGGCACAAGGAGGGCATTCAAGGTGGTGGCACTGTGCAGGAAGCAGAAGTCGTAGGTTGCGTATTCCGCCAGATTCACGGCACTGCTGATGCCGCAAATGAGCAGGGCGATGCCCCAGCCCACAAGGTATATGCCCAGTATGGGCTTCCGTTCGCGCTCCCTCTGCGGTTCCACATCCTGGCCCTGGCATTGTCCCTGTCCCGAGCTCGTCGTCTTGGTCAGCCGCTTGTACATGCTACTCAGGCTCACACAAACCCAGAGCAGCACGCACAGGCCGAGGTAGTGCATCAGCAGTCCCAGCAGGCGGCACTGTGGCTGACTGGACGTTTGGTAAATGCCCAGCGAAAAGGCCAGAGCCAGAGCGCCCAGGGCCAGCCAGGTGTTGACCAGGGCATGCCGCTGCACCCGATTGATGCGCACCGCTCTTCCGAAGACAGCAAAGGTCACCGCATTGAAGGCGCAGCAGGCGAAGAGTAGGCCACATCCGGCGTAGACCGCAGCTGGTGGATGCCGGAACCTGGCGCCCGATTCCTCGCTCCGGAAATCGTTCAGATACAGACTCCTCTGGAGCAGGCCGTAGTATCCCGTGCGACTGCAACTGAACATGACCAGAGTGCGATGCTGGTAGTGCTGCTGGCAAACGCTCGGCTCCCACCGCTGCTCCTCCGCATCCCACCAGGCGGGTTGGGGCGCACTCAGTGGATTGTGATACGGGTGGGCCCTCAGCATCACCGTCACCCTTTGCTGGTACACATCCTCCTCCGGATCCAGTTCGTTTTCGGCTCTAAACTGCACAGCTTCTCCGTCGCTGCTGTAGGCCAGTATACCAATGATGGCCGACGACAAGGATTCATTGTAGCTTCCCCTCAGATTGGGCAGCAGTTTGCCATTCCTGTGCAGCGAGATCATCAAGCGGAGACTGCGAATCGGCGAGGCTGTCGGTGAGCTGGCAGAACTATTCCCGATCACGCTGTACGGCAGCTGGATGGCGGCATCGATGTCGCCATGCTCGTACATGGGTATCGTATCGTTGGCGCTGTTGCACTGGAAACCCCGCGGACTCTGCTCCAGCCAAACGCAGGACAGGCTGACGAAGGCATCCAAGCTGATGTTGAAGAACTCCACGAATAAGTTTCGCTGCTGGGCCAGCGATCCCCGCCAGGGTATCATCTCCGCCGGCAGGGGTTCTGCTTGGGTGCTGGCCAGGGCCAAACGCATGGCCGAGGATTCCACCACATGGAGCAGCCGCTGTCCAGTTCCCTGCTCCGATTGTGCGGCTCGAAATAGATGCGTAGGCAGGTTGAGCAGCTGCGAAACTATGTCCATTAACAGGTGACTGATCTCCTGCTGCTGCTGCGGTTGCGCCAGTTGATCCAAATACTTGACTAAAGTGCGGGCGATGTACTCCAGATCCATGGGATCTCGTATGCGATTCAGTTGAGTCTGCGCCTGCGTAAAATTGTGCAAACGGCGGGCAATCTCCAAAGCATTTTGACCCTTTGTCAAGGTGAGATTCACTTTGGCAAACTGCTCCAGGATGCGTGTGGTTTCACTGACATAAACACAACTTTCGGTATCCAAATTAAGCCACTCTCCGGACGGTCCACACTCATGCGAAGCTCGACGGGCTTGGGTGGCATCGCTGGGCTCCTCTACGCACTCCTGCAGCACAGTCTCGCCCCGCATCGTCCTGGGCCAGTGGTAGGTGCCCTTGTTCGTGTGCACCACACGGGCTTCACAGTAGAGCGTGCCCTTAGCCACCACATGGAGTACGATGGCCTGCGAAAGATTCGCCTGCTGGCTGCGCAGCGTGCAATCCCACATGCCTGTGTGGTTTTGGGTGAGGCTGGCTATGCGCAGGATAGATTGCAGGATGCCCGAGTCCGTGGAGTGGCGCGTCTCCAGGTTCACGTCCCCGAAAACCTTGGTGGGGTCTTGATAGATAATATCTTCGGTGGAGTTTTTGGCACGTATCTTCTCCGACCAGCCCCAGAACACATAAGCCTTGGTGGGCAGATCCTCGCTCTCCCTGGGAACTCCGATAGCCACCCGTGGAGCGTAGCACTTCAGCTGCAGTTCATCTCCTTCGAAAGCCACCTGATTCTGACTAGGAATGAGCTCGAGCAACGGTTGCAGCAGCGTCTCGCAATGGAAGTCCTTTCCCACGCGCAGTTTCTTCAGCGGCATGCCACGAAAGTTACCGGGGGAATCGCATTTTGGAGGAGGCTGGAGGCGCACATCTTGGGCGCTAGACCAGGCAATCAACCAAATTAAACCGCAGTCACAGGCCAAGGGATTTCCAGACAGATCGCTGTGTAGAAGAAGACACCAATTAGGTTTATAATAGGGAAATAATGTGCAATAACAAGGATATTTAGTTCGATTGTATAACTTGTCAAGATCTTGTTGCATTTTATATATGACCTATTTTATCATTGCTCATATGCAGAATCAGTTTTATATATTCTACTTACAGCTGCCTGAGCTTGGGCATTTGATCGAAAGTGCCCTCATAGATGTGGCTAATGGCATTCCCTGCCAGCTTCAGCTTCTCCACACGCCTCAGACTATTGTTGAAGGTTTCTTTGTCCAGTTCGGTTAGGAGATTGAACGACAGATCCAAGCGTTTGAGTTCCGTGAAGTTAACGAAATCGTTGGCAGTAATCAGTGCAATAGAGTTCTTACTGGCATTGCTAAAAGGAGAAAACATATGTATGTAGTTGCTAAGGGAAAGTGGAATTTGCTGAAATATGTATTTACATGCTGACAATGGAAGAAAGTATTTCCTCTCCAAAGTCCAGTTCCCGCCAGTTGGCTATCTGCTGTTCATCGCAGCGAACCCGCAGACTATGGATGTTTTCCGATATGTTCCGGCAGCTGCATTTCCTCGGGCATGACGTTGTTCCGGTTCCGGAGATAGCTGATTCTGGATTTTGGGGCTGGGACTCCGAATTTTCCGACTGCACCGACTGTCCCTCTGCCGCAGTCGAGGTTGCAGTCGACGTCGCCGTCAGCGTCAGGAACAACAAGAACAACAACAACAGTGGGAGTGGGGGCAGCGGCGGAGGAGGGGGCGGGGCCGATCTCCACGCCCCTCGTTCGTTTGGCCGCCCATTTCGATCGATTCGATTGATTACATGCCGGGCGCAGGTAGCGCACATTTAATTAACAAATTCCGGGCCAAGCAAATGCATAATAAACAATAACAATAGAAAACACACACACTGCGTTTTTTTTAGTTTATACAAAAAAGTGTTGCCCTACGTTTCAAAGGTTCTAAGTTTTAATGGCGGTGGACGATTGGAGTGCCTGATACCGCTGTCATCGATAGTTTTGTTACATCGTTATATCGATAGTTATTTTATTTGAAAGGTTTAAAAAAAATATATTCTCACGCTCCAATTTAATTAAAATATAAATTATTTGAATTTAGCCGTATTGAAATACAATATTTCACATCAGAAACTTAAACATTTTTGTTGTTAAATAAATTGTATATATTAGCTAAACAATTTCATAAATAAATGTATGCTTTGTTATTAAGACATTAAAAGCTTTCAAAAAGTTTAAGCACGAAATGAGAATGTGCTCATCTAAAGAATTTATTTTTCTATAAATCTTTGAATGTTTATTATTCACTCCAACTTTAAGGCGGTAACCTTTTATTTAAATATCTTTATTAATAAAATCTCTCTTGTCAATTATTTAATATTGTAATTAAAATATATGTATGGAAAATAAAACAATTATATGTGAGGAATTGTATAATTCAGTCTTTTTACAACCAAATAAAATCAATATAATATAGTTTCAGACAATCCCCGACTCTACCATTTAAATACTTTTACATACAATGTTAAAAACCCATTAAAAATTGGCAAGAAAGGGCGTTCAAATTAAAATAGGTTTATTTTTTGAGCCAACTTGGCGGTTTGGTTTGGTCCGGGTTCATGACCCCGCCGCACAGCAAAAAAAGCACACACAAACATATATTGAGATTACGAAAAAACAGGTTTCCTTCTTTAGAACTTAGAGCTATTTTTGAATGCTGCCCAAACGATCAGTGGGAGGCAGGGGATTTCCTCTGGAAGGGAGCAAGGGGTCTGGCTAACCCCTACGCCAGCTTGCCATTGTGCGCCGTCCGATACTTGGACAACTTGTCCATGTACTCGTCGTGCCGCTCCAGAGTGGCCAGCAGACCCTCCGTATTGACGGGCGATTCCTCGGGGCCATAGTTAATCAACTGGTCATTCAGCGTGGTCATTGTGCCGCCCAGTGCGTGCAGAATGGCATCGCCGGCGCAGATGTCCCACTTCTTGATCTTGGAGGTGTGCAAATAGGCGGTGGCATTGTTGGCCACCACCTGGAGCACCTTGTAGCCAGCTCCCGCCGCCGTCAGCAGGCTGACATCCTCGCCAAAGATGCCCCTGGCCAGATCCTTGGCTCCCGCCGTGTGGGATCGCGACACTGTGATGATGGGCGCCTGGTTGTCCGGCGCATGCTGCGGATGTAGAGTGGCCAGGTACTCCGACATCGAGTTGCCCACCCACGCCCAGGCCGTCTGGCCATTGAATGGACTGTGGATCACCCCGATGATGGGTCTTCCGGCCACCGCCACGCACACCATGGTCGTCACGTACTCGTACAGCTCCTCTGTGGAATAGAAAAGGGCCATTAGTTAGTTTTGTTCACATTTACATAATAGGAAACGCGGTGTTTCAGATAGTTCAATATTTTAGCTTAAATTGCATTTAACTGATATCTATTCAAAGTTATGAAACAAATTTGCATATTCAAGCTTAAACAATAAGTAATAAAACATTTCCCACTGGTTCTGAGTTAACATATTTAAATTTCTTGATTAGAAAACAAATAGTTATTTCCTTATCACATCTAGATAATACTCTTATCTTTTTGACTTGTTAAAAATGTAATTTGGTTGAGTTAAAGGTGTAGTTCGCGTATTTTAAAAATAGCATGCTAATTTTTATCAGATAAAAGTCTTTTTTAATGATAAGGAGAACCACAAAGCTAACGAGCTACATTAAGGTTATAAAACAAAGTTTTAAATAAAAATTATAGCAATTTTCAATCAACAAAGCGAGTTAATTATCTTTTTCAAATCGAAATCCCATTTTAAAGGAAATATAAGATAAAAAAAATATAAAATTGGGACAGAAAAAAACGCTGCCCCTTCTCACCGGTAAATTCCTTCGTGGCATCCAGCGGATCCACCCAAACGGTGACATCCCGCGCATTCACAGCCACATCGGGAACCTGGGCGGTTTCGTGGAGGACCGTGGGATCCAGGTCGTAGCTGTGCGCCTGCTTGCAGTGCTCCTTGTCCTCCTCGGAGAAGATCTGGACGAGCGGGAAAATGCGCTGCAGGCCCTGCTTCATCACACAATGCGACCGGCCATCGGCGTCCGTAAAGGGATCATTGACGCCCTCGTCCGTCTTCCCTTTGCTCCGCTCCTTCAGCTGGCGACTTCTGGCCACATCCAAGACCTCCAATCCGCCACGCTGGGCGGCCTGTATCGCGGCAATCAGCATCTTGCGGAGATTGACCCGACTGGGATTCTCGCTTCTCAGCATCCCATAGATGGCGGGTCGCTCCTCCTGGTGGAAGTTGAGGAAGTAAACCAGGACGATGGTCAGCAGGATGGCCACAATGGTGGCCGGCACCCGGTTGATTCGTATGGAGCGTCCGTTCATCTTCGCCTCGCTCATCGATCGCTATCACTGGATTTGTATGGTTTATTATATGTGTACGCTCAATTTGCCAGTTTGCCAGATCACCAGATCAAATGCTGTCGTCTTGGTAAAAACCCTCTCGAGAACTGAAATGGGAAACACTTGATGGCGCGACGGTGGGCGGGAAACGGGAGGCGGGGCACAGGTGTTTTTGGGGCCAGCAGGTGTTCGGTGTGAGCTATGCTCTGTGCTACTCTATTCTGTTCTCTATTCTAAGTCCACGTTGCGCGTTTTTCCCCCCAACCAAAAAATAAAAGGCGCAAGCCGAATCGGCTGTAAATAATAACAAACAGATGTGCGCCAGGTCAGTTAAAGCTGGCAAATCGTTGATAGCACTATCGATTACATAAACGCTTTTTTTTTTTGAAAATCGACCCTTTCTTTTATTCCATTCTTTTTAAATTGAACTGTAAAACAAAAAAGGTGTAATATTCTGATATGTTTCTTGTTACCACTGACTGTAGTGCAATGAATCAAATTGTATTAAAGAACAGATTATTTTTAAATAATCATCGATATCTGTGCAGGATATGGCAGTCGAACTCCAAAAATACCAGCGCTTAATTAAGAAAATAACAATAAAAAACATTTATCTTTCATATCAAATTTTGTACTTAAGTCCTTATGAAAAACAGACGTTTAACAAAATTTAAACTTCAGATGTATCAGCTTTTTAAAGTTTTTGAGAATGAATGACAATCTTCCAAAAAAATTCTGAGCTATTCAAATTTTCAGAATCAATGTATTTTTGCGCCCTGATTACGAATGTTTACCTTAAGGTTGTCGACAAAAAGGTTTTCTTGCTATTTCTAAAAAACTATATCCATTTGTTTACGTTACTCTTTTAGGGATGTGATTTTGTTATTTAGTATGGCGCGACTTTGATAACTATCGCTATCTCTATGCTGATGACTGGGGGTATCGGTAGGAAACAATCGATGTTTTCTGGGAGGACGGTGATTATCGAACAAACATCGTTATTGTTCCAGCTCTATTCGCTCGTGGAATTCGAAACAAATTTGTATTTTTTTGCGTCGCTCCGAACCCAGAAAGTCTAAGCGTCGCGCGTTTTCCCCAAATAAAAAACCACGAAAATTCAAACAGAATATTTTCTTGTTTTTTTTCTGTTTTTCTCCGACACACATAACAAAAATTCCATTTTTTTTAATAAATCAAAATAACAACAACAAAAAGTGCGTGCGCGTGCAGAAACGAAAGAAAAACCGTAAAAATTGTGGGCGAATCAACAAGCAAAAGAGAATGAGCGATGATGAGGAGAAGAGGCAAAAGCAGAGGCAGTTGTCGTAGTACTAGTACCAAAAAGAAACTGCGAAAACTGCTTGTGAAGTGACAACAACAACAAGTAACGAAAGAGAAAAGCAAAAGCAAAAAAAGGTAACAAGCAAAAAGGCGAATAAAAAAGAGCGCAAAAATATACGTCCACAACAACACAAAAATTAACTTAAAAAAGTCGTGAATTCACACACACAAACACAAAGTGTGAGAGCGAGAGAGCGTGCGTTATTTATTTTATATTTTCGTAAAGTTAATCATTTTTCGCATTTGGTGGAACAAGTTGGAAAAGAAAAGCGACAATAAAATATAAAATACAACAACAAAAGCAGCAGCAAGCAGTTTGCACCACTTGGAAGAGGTATTTATGTTTGTTTGTTTGTCTTGCCCCGTGTATTCTTATTAGCAGCAGCAGCCGAAGGGGAGACAGCATATTCTTATTAGATCAGCCAGTCTTCTTTTTCGTCTGTTTTGCTTCTCACTCGATTCGCCGTTATTTATGTAACAAGTGTGTGCGTGCTAAATAAAGTGCTCGCTCTCTCCCCCTCTCTTGTTGTTGCTCTCTTTCTCTCTCTGCGTTTGATGATTTGATTTTGTTCACTTAGTAAAGTTGCTGTAAATGTGGCTGCCACCAAAAAAAAAAAGAAAAAGAAGCAAAAATAAATAATAAAAGCTCCACCGCAAAGCGCATTGAACTGGTTTATGTTGTGCTCGCTTCTTCTTTTTCTCTTCTCTCCGCTTTGCTCTCCACTTTTCATCTTCTTCTCTCTTCTTGGTTATCAACATGATGCCAGGAATCAGAAAAAATAAAACAGTAACAACAACAAAAAACAGAATGGAATTCGCTGATCTTTTGTTGTTGTTATTTCGTTCGCTTTGAGCCAAACTTCTCATTCTTTTTTTGCGGGATCTCTCTTAGCTCTCCCCCGTCTATTCACTCCTTTTTATCCATTTATTCAACTATAGTGGTCATTTGCATGTATTCTTTAAATAACATTTTTTTAATATCTCAAAAAAATGTAACTAAATTAATAACATATTTCCTGGCAAAAAATCATTGCAGGAGTTTTTAGTTTATCTTGCTCCTCACTATTAAATTTTGTCTTGTATTTGTAAAGACTATTTAAAAAAAATGATTAATTAAAAACTTGTAAAAAACCGCCACTAAAAGGTACCACTGTAGAGTTCACTTAATTGAAAATAGGTCATACATACATATACAAAAGGCCATCTTTTTGAAACTATAAGAACCTTGGAATTTGTCCTGTTTTTTTCATACCCTATTTATTAATACTTTAAACTAAACATTTAAGAGCGCAGTTTGTTGCTTAGAAAATATGCGTTTCTAGCTCACAATGCAACCCACTGATGACTATAATTAATATGACTCGCCACCATAAATCGAGGCCGCCAACTCACTCTTTTAGCCACCCTCCGCCCCTCAACTTAATTTGTTTATTTTGCATCCAAAAATTACAGCTATGAGGTGTTTTTATCTTGTGACAAATGCTTACATTACGTTTAAACGTAATGATTTATTGTTTATGTTCGGATATGGTCTCACTTCCTATGATATTTATAACAAATCTTTTAATTAAATTTCCAGTGTGACCTTGCGGTTGTGTTTTTCCTAGACAGTGCCCCAATTTGTACTCTTTATTAAATAGATTGCATAAAAGACGTCATGGAAACTTTATCCATTGTTTTGAATAGGGAAATGCCTAAGTAATCCTCAACACGACAATTAATGGTTTTGGTTTTTCTATTTAGTATTACTCATTGTTTCTAGGTTTTCTTCGTACGCCTTAAAAACTTGCCTTCATCGATATTTATATCAGTTGACAGATTTTCTACAAACCCTAAATCTTACTACTTCAAATTAATTGATTTTATTACAAACTTTACACCTATAAAAATGATAATTCATTGATAAATTTGTAAGTACCCATGAAAACTCCAACTACATAATGTCTTTAATTGAAAATTACTTTTGGCCAGTGTAACCTTGATTTTATAATTGTTTTTTTTTTAGTGTGTTTTTTGTAAAGAACTTTTTTGGAATATGATAAGTCAATGCAAGGGTCTTTATGAAATTAATTGCTTGAATTATTTATGAATATAGTCTATCGGTTTTGTACTTAATTGTATCCGATTTAACGGTAATTTATTTACAATGCAATTTCTGCCATTTGGGTTTTCTGGTTGTTGGTCGCTTTTGTTCTATTTGCTCGTGTAATTAGTGAACGGAAATTGTTTTGTGCGTCACATGTGTGTGGTGTGTGTGAAGGTCAATGGGGCAACTCGTTATCGTTTTTTTTCGGCCACGCCTCCTAAAAGACTCACCTTAAAAGAATATTTTAGTTATTTCCGACCAGTAAAAATTTCCCTATCAAGTGCTCTTAAGTGTAAACAAAATAAAAAAAAGAAGAAACAAACAAGAGTTTATTTTTACATACCATTATCGGAGTTCCGAAAATGACAACAAAAATTTTCCAAAAATTCTTGCCTTATCAGGCACTTGTTTTTCAGTTTGTTTTCCCTTGTTTATCTTTTTCTGCGAATTAAATTTGAATGAATTTTTGCTTGGAGGTCCGGCGAAATCATTCATATTATAATGATGCACATAAATATGTGCAATTTGTTATTTGTGCTTGTTTGAGGAAGGCATTTCCCATGGGTAAAGATTCTTCCCGGAATGAATCAGAATTATACGTTCTGATAAAGTTAATCTCTTAGTTTTTAAATTACACTGAGAAAATGTTCTTCCTATGTTGACAGTTCTTTTTTGTACACATTAACATTCAAAGTATTTATCAATTCAGTATGTCAATTATAAATCTATTATGTATATTGGGGAACTAGATATCGCAATGGTTAGGGGACTCTTTACTTAATAATAAAGAAAACCAATGATAGAAAAACAAATCCTTGTAAAAATGTTTAACTTAATTTTTTTTGCATATTGTTTAATTTGATTTTCTGATTTGTTGCAGGTTCCGCCCTCCCCCAAATCCATATGCAAAATGTCTAGTCCCGACGATAGAATACCAATACACGGTAAGTGGGAACGAAGGTCCCTGCAAAATCCCCAACCCCATAGATAAACTGGGTTTTAGTTTAGGGCAGTATTGGGGGGTTATTATATTATATCCTGCTTTGTTGGCTGTTCGTATGTAACCTGCATATAGCTACAGCATTAACAACATTCGGAATACATAACTCAAAATGTACACAGACCACACACATACACATGCTCAAACAAAAGCTTACACAGCCCGTATGGGTGTGTTTGTGTGTGTTGCCTTCCAAAAATAACTGTAATAAGCACATACACAAAAGCGGACCAGAACTGCGCTGTCAATGGATGATGCACATTGGTCACAAGCTGGCAAATAACGGCATTAAAAGCTCTGCACAAACTGGTTGGGAATTATAAGGCACGTAATGTACAATAGGAGGAGGAAGCAAATTGTTGAAGCTGGTCACACGACGGGCTACGATTTCCGAAAATAATTTCTTTTTGCGAATTGGGGAGCTCATAAATCTTAACGTTGCCAAAAAAAAAAACTAATTTAATTTGTTGAACAATTTTTTATGGTTTTACGTTTTAAATGCCCCTTTATTAAATTATAAGCAAATTAATAATTATCCCTGTCAGCTGTGATCACTATCCAAGCAATTAAGCAAACTTACAAGGAATTTATTAAAACACCTGTTGGCTAATGTTCAACTTTATTAAGCAAACTTAGGCTCGTTTTCTCGTCTTTGTGGTAAGCTTACTAAACTAGAAAAATCTGAATGTCTAATAAATGGTAAAGCCCCAAAGATGTTAAAGTCATGAAAAGACCTAAACTAACTTCGGCACATTTCGCTATCCAAGACTCACTATTGGCTTTTAACTTACTATTTTATTTATTTAATCCATTCAGTCTGAAAATATAGGCAAATGTTTATGTTCTCTAAATGGGTTGAGAACAATGGCTTAAACTGTTTCTTAAGTAGCACACTTCCAAAGTTCAATTGTATTTTGTTTTTTTGTGGCAGATGGTTTATCAAATTTGTGAGGACTATTTACGTACTTCTCTATTTCCTTAACTCAACTTATTGCCAGCTGTCAATCAAATCAGTTAAACATTTGCACAGCTTTAACCACTGTGCGTTTGTTGCTCCTTTCGGGTGGTTAAAAAGGTGGTAGGTATGAGGGCCTATACAGTTGGATCTACTAACTTTTTTGTCCCGGGCAGGCCGAGAACAACAACAAGAACGTTGTCCATGGTCGGGTCGTCAAAGTCTCTTTCGTCTCTTTTCACGGCAAACAGAATAGATATATGTAGATATAGATATAGATGGGCGGAAAAACCGGGGGGCGGGATATTTTACTTGGTATTTTGAGCTGGTTGGTCTTAGTCTTAACCAGTGCTGACAGGTATTTCCCACTGCAGTAAACTGCTCTAAAAAGAAATATTCACTATTCAATTTTGTTTTTATGTAATTAAATATATGACATGTTGTTTCCATTTCTCAACGTTTTGCTCCTAATACTCTTTTACAATTAAACATTTATATTATTTGTTTGGCAAGAGCAAGTCCAAAAGATCCATTATTTTCACCTGATTTAATAACATTTTCAACAACATAACAAGCGCTAACTCTTTGTACTTTTAATGATTCGCCTCTTTATTTAAACAAATATTTTATAAACAAAACCCAATTCGTTTTACAAAATTATCCAAGCCAAAGCACTGTGTTAAAACTCCATTTTACAATAAGTTAGTTATCTTTTAACAAGTACATTTTTGTTATAAGTATGTCTGTTAAACTCAAATGCTGATAAGTTTTAAACTCATCCGAAAGTGCCCATAGAAAATATTATCAGAGAATAGCTAACTACACAGCACTGGTTTTTGGACGCATTTTCTTTTGGCCATCCATCGAAACCACTGCCAATGCCAAGCACGTGGATGGACGGGAAAATGGAAATGGAAATTGGGGTGGGGGATGCGAGAAAATGGGCAGTGGGTGGTGGGTGTGGGGTGTGGGGGGAGATGGCTTGGAGCCCCGTAATCTTCGCTTCGTGCTCAGCTCTCTCGCTCCCCGATTCTCGTGCTCGTTTCTGCTCTCTGTCTGTTTATTTGCAACCAAAAAGAAAAACATTCGTTTATCGATTTTCGTCTATTTTTAGACACAAAAGCAACAGCAAAATTTACTTGCCTTTCAAATGGGTGGTGTAAATGTGTGTTGTGTTTGTGTGTGGACTGTTGACTGACGGCCGGACCCGGAGACCCGTAAAGTCCGTGAAACCCGGAGAGCCGAGCCACGTCTTTCGTTCCCTCCTCCCCCTTTTTTTTTTTTTTTTTTTGTTTCCATTGGCCACGTGCAGTTCGCCGACGCGTCCGAGGATTTTAGGGGATTCCAGGGATTCCGGGGATTCTCGTCTTCTCCACAACCATGTAATATTTATCCCATGGTCTACGTCTAATTGCTTGGGCCCATTCCGGAGTGGGACAATGTAACTTTCCCCATCGAGAATGTCCAGCTGTTGGACATCGATAGGCCATTAGGAATTCACGAAAATTTAATTTCCTCTCTACAGGAGAACTTGTTGGAAAAATTCGTTGAATTAATAATCAGAAAGTTTGCCTTGTGTTGGATAATAGCTAATACAATCCACTTATTCAGATTGGATTATAGCCCATGCAAATGTGCAATGTCAAGGGTTGATTTAAAATTAGCTTATATTCATTCAAGGACTTGTTGCCCCCTTTTCGATAGTAACAAGGTTTATAATTAATTATTCGAATAATTATTATCATTATCCACTTATTTTCCACTAGTTCCCTTACAAATTGGCCAATTTATAGTTTCATACAAAATGAAGGTGTCCTTTTTCCAAGGTCTTTGCTATTAAATGTCCTTAAATTTGTAATTCAGAATTTTGCCATCTGTTGGCCTTTGTACGACCATAACACAATTAATAATTCCTTCATTCAACAATTATTTTCTGTAACCACTTATTTTTGAAGCGATAAATCCTATTCAAACACTTTTGATTTGTTTCAACCTCAAAGAATCCTGATAAGGCAGAAACTTATTCAAAACTTATTTACATTAAATAAGTTTTCCCTGATCATAAAGTTGTCTTTTTAATTACTTTGCTAACTGCAATTACTGCAATTTTGTAATAATTAATTTATAAATGTTTCAATCTGAGAACCATTGACTCCGATAAACTATGGTAAACGAATTAAAAATTAAGTCAAAAGTTAGCAAACTATTTATAAGGCCGCAACGTATTTTTGTTACCGACTTTTAATTGCTATTTTGATAGCATGGCAAACAGTTGAGATTCTCCAAGTTTTCCTCCGCCAATAATTTGCTGGAAAAACTTTTTTGTACATTTTTTTCATAATGTTTTCAAGTTAATAGTAAATGTGTTTTGTAAATATTTCCTTCAATTAATAATTTTTCAGTACTGTGTCCGCATTTTTTTGGAACTTTACTTTTTGAAGAATATTTATATTTATATATATATAAATGAATTCCCCAGCTTTGAATAACACCACACTCACATCGAATCGCTTCCCCAAAGTGGGGCAGAATTGATTGTCTAAGACGCAATAAGTGAAAAGTTTTTCCTTTCGCTGTTGTTATTTTTTGTACCATTCCATTGTGAAAAACACGCAGCACCTGCAAGAAGGTCGGACCCCCAAACCCAAAAAAAAACCCCACTCTATTTTGTTTTCTCCAGTGCCAGTGGAGCATTTATTGTAATGGCATTCTAAGAATAAAACTTGGCTCGGTGTTTGCGCTTGTCTCTGTGTATTTGAGCTGTTATATAAAATCGTTAGGGGCTTATGTATCGCCCGTATAAAAACCCCCCCACAAACCCTCGCCACGCCACTGTCTTAACAATGGGGTAATCATATCGAAAGCTGCGTCGCTGCGTTTATTTATTCATTTCATTTACTTCAACCCACAGTACACCCTGACAAAATTTTCTTTTTGGGATTCCTCACTTTGCTACAAATTAGATGAGTCATGTTCAAAAATAAATTCTATAATCATAAGCTAAAGCTATTAAAGATGCAAGAGTATATAAAATTGGACTTGCCGAAACTAGTTTCTTTTCTTGTTTTTAATACATTTTAGTTTTCATACTGAATCAAGGAAATTCCTGGAAATTGCAACTAATGGAAAGATAAGAAAATAAGTTTCATATGTTTTTTGATTCATTTGTTTCCTGGAATTTTTTGACTGAGTTATGAATATTAGGATAATTAAAAACAGTATATTCGAAAATTGAAATTAATTTTATTTTGTTGTTTTTATGGATAAAGTTAAAATGTTTATGATGAAATTCTATAAGTTATACTATATTCAAACCATAATAACTGAAAGTCGTTTAAACGAGTATTTACTGTAGTCGTAGTTATGGTTGTGATAGCTGCTCTTTGGCTTCACATTTGTCAAGGTAAACCCGCAAAATCGGGGTGTTTTTTTGGGGGGTTTTCTATTGAGTTGTATAGCCTAGAACTTTACAAATGCCACGCCTTCAACCGCCTATATCCCGAAAAAAAAACGTTTTGCCGGCGCTCATTTTTTTTCGGCCTGGCCCAAAAGTTTAGCTGTTGTTGTTTCTATTTTTAGAATGCGCGCGCTGGAAATTTACCCACAAATTCCCATACAAACGCACAAACACATGGAAATTTAGCTATCGCTCAAAACAAACTTATTGAGGAAGGAAGAAAAGAGAAAGAGAGAGAGAGAGGGGAGTGTATATATACATATATATATATATATATATATCAAGCTGTTCTCTCACTCTCTGTTGTCGTATCAATTTCCAATTGAATTTCAGTTTCAATTTCAATGACACCAAGCGCTCCCATCATAAAATTTTATACCGTTTTTCTTTTTAAAATTTTTTTATATTTATTTTGCGGCCACACACATACACGTGCTTTTGTTTTTGTTGTGCCATTTGGTTGGTTTCTATGTCAACACACAAATTGACCTTGAAGTTGAAAAAGCCCAGAGATGGGGGAGTTGTGGGTTAGAGGGAGACAGACAGAAAGAGAGGGAGTCTGCTACGCATTTACTTTTATTTAAAACGGCATTACCTCAAAAAAAATAAATAAAACAGCTGATTCTGATTGCAAGCCACTCTCTCATTATCCCTCTCCCAGTCTCTGCACCTGTAGTCTTCTTGTGTTGTTCAGAGCATTTCTTATAATGTGAGTGTTCTGAATAAGACAACAAATTTAGGATTTTGGAAATCTGAAAGAATACTTATGAATTTAGCATTACATTGCATTTTGCACTTAATTTAAATTTGAATTTTGTCTTCACTTTTAAAGTTCACATGTTTTTGTTTTCCTTAGTATTTTATCTCGTTTTACTTTTTGTACTTGTTCTTCTGAGCTTTTGTGCAATATGCACTGCTGTTGTAGTAGTAGTTGTATCTATAGTATCTGTGTGTTGCCACTTCTAAATATACTCCCCAAAGCCATGCACGATTTATAAACGCGGCTAAAAATAGAACGTCAAAGCAGAGCGGCAAGCAGCGCAGCAAGCAGCGCAGCAGGTCACGGCCTGTGCAACAGTTGTGGTCAAAATAATAGTATCAGAATCATAAGGAACACAGAAGAATTAAAATTTCAACGGTGTTTAAGTACATTCTTAGGAAAAAGAAATTTCAAATATAGAATGTCAAAGTTCATATTTGTTTTTAAGCTAAATGTAAGAACTTTGTTTTTCTGAATTGCAATTGCGATTGACCTCAAAGTATCAAATACACCCTTAAAAAATTGTAAACTGATTTAATATTCAGAAGGGTCTCTTATTTTGACCTTAACTGTAGCGTACATATGTGCACATGCGTTTGTGCTTTTGTTTTGTTGCTGCTTTTGGGCTTTGCTCTTTGTTATTCTATTTTTAGAACCGCCACATAGCCCAATATTCAATTGGAATCAATTTCTAGACCAAAAAACTCGACTTTGCTGATTAGATCAGCGTTTGACAGACAGAAAGAGACAGAGGTAGAGTGACGGAAAGGGAGGGGGCATCGTTACTAATGGGACTTTTTGGTTAGTCATCTCTGCATTTTTATTGGCGCGCAATTAGTCCAGTGAAAGGAAATTAAAAGAGAGCAAATATCCCCACTCTCCTCGCAGCAAATATTTATCAATGAAACATTTTCCAACCGATTTTTCCCATCTATTTTCGGTTTTGCCAAAATTTTTCATCATCATTTTTCTTTGGCAGCAAATCAAATTTGTTGAGCGGTGCTAAAATACAGAGAGAGAAAAAAAGAGCGCAATTCCGAGAGGGAGAGAAATAGAGAGAGCAATAAAAGTAGCTTGGGCGTCACGTGCAACAAAATAAGAAGAAATAAAGGCTAAAGCAAAAGTTGAGAGGAAATCGTTGTAATCGCTGTTAACTTGTACTACACAAGGTTACTAAAAATAGTCAACGCACACTCATGCACTGAGAAAAGTTAATAATACTCTTGATACCACATTTTAACATCCAAATACATTATCTTAATCAATTTTATCAAGATATTAAATTCTTCTTCTCTTCTTAAATAATCATCTTCAAAATTTTCCATTAAAAAACCGGAATGAAGCTAGATATTATTTCTTCCCAATTATATATAAATCCGGAGCTTATTGCTTAAAATTACATATAAAAATAGTTTAAAAGAAAATGTAAGTGCAATTAAGTGCAACAAAGGCATTAAAAAAATATAAATACAACTTGAAAAGTTGTACCCTTCCCCTAAATATGTTTTTTTTATTTAGGAAATATTTATAATTTTTTTCCTGTGCAAATATACACAATTACAAAGGCAAACACAAATACCAACCATCGAGGTCCAACGCGTCGACTAAATACGTTTTAGATTTATTTTTAAAAGCGTCCGATAAGCGCAGCCTTATCTACATAATCGGCCGGAGAGCCAGTCACACCTCCTCCAGATCAGGAGAGTCACTATATATGGCTCATATGTACATACACATAAATCGTATACGAATCTATATCCCTCTCCGAATCGTTCCAATTTCGCTCATTCAGTTGTGTGTTTACATTGTCAATTCGCAGATCTGCCATCAGAAGCCGGAAGCGATGAGCGATTGCTGCACATAACGCCGGGCACACTGACATTGGACTTCAAGCCCCATCCTACGGTGGATATCGATCAGCAGATCATGGAGGTGAGTTCCCAGTTCCAGTTCCCCAACATCAACTAGCGATCAGTGATGAAATACCACTTGTTTAGGGGGGTTTGTCTCGATATTGATGACTAACTGACTAATGACAAACCCCCAACAAAATTCAGGGTGTTACCTGTCATGGAAGACCTGAAAGTTAATTGAAACATTTAAAGCATTTAGAAATGAATGCTTTAACACAAAGTCATCATAAGTGAATGAAACCCAGGGGCAAATCGTAAACCTATTGTTTCCATGGGCAGTTAAAACAAAAATAGTGGTGTTATCTTTTAGAACCTTGTATTTTTAATGAATCATAGAATACCAGAAAGGTAATCGAAACAAAACTTTCACAGTATTAAAAAAATTGGGGAATATTAAAAAAGGTCGAGAAAACCTTGATTGAAATACCTTCAGGAAGTTCTTTTTTTAAGTGGTTTAAAAAGCTATATAGTAAAATAATAAAAAATCTTCTTAAGCATTCATTATTTTTAAAGGCTTGAAAAAGGATTTGTTAGTTATTAATATAATATTTTTTGACTACAGACAATTTAAAAGATTTCTTTTCGACTTGGCTAAGAGGGACCCAGGACAATCTCTATGCCTTTTCCTTGTCAGCTTTTTGTCCAGTAATTCCTCCAGCTGGCCTTTTCACATTTTCCTTGTTTCTTTAATGTTGTTTTATTTTTGTTGAGCTTTTTCGCTTTCCGCTTTATTTATACTTTATTCGCCTGGCTCTGGCCATGCTCCTCAGTAGTGTGTGTGCCGATGCGATGCTGCTCCTCTTGTTGGAAGTCTAAATTTAAACGCGTGTACAACTTAATGATTCTATATTTATTGTTTTCACTACGAAAATATGTATGAGTTTTTGCGCATTTTTTAAATAAAATTCTCTAAAAATAAACGGAAACCGAGTCAAGAGAGCCGCACAGTGAGCGAGAAATGTCAGAGAAGATGAGAGTACGGAGGATTTATAGATATCACTGCCTATAATGGCCCTGTTGGGAGTTTTACATCTGATTCGAAAAAGTATTAAAAAATGTTATTAAAATACTTTCGATATTATTGAAAAGGACACGTTAATAAATAATTGTTATAATATGATATTATTAAAGTAGATATTGTAAAAAAGATGCTGATTTTCTAACTAACTTTAAATTATGAAATCTAAAACTCTGACTACTTTCATTGCTATTTGAATTATATATTTTTAAAAGTACTTCACTTTTCTTAAAGCTTAATTTAAGATACATTTTGTGGGAAAACTACTTTATCTGTATAGGGGGTGTTTACTGCACCTGACCAAATGGTTGGCATTTGTTTCAACTGTCTCTTTGACCTGGTGCCCACTGTAGCCGGGCATGATGGCCAGCATGTGCAGCAGGCCCACCTGCTCGACCCCCTCCACTCCCCCTTCTTTTTCACCGCCCCTCCTCACCCCCCAACGCCCCTGTTCTTTGTGGCCCGCTTCTTCTTCTTGTTTCTGTGCTGCTTGCATTCAATTTATAGTCTCGGGGATTTATTTATGCCTCGATTTTTGGCTGCAGTTCGCTTTCTTATTTTTGTCGTAATTTCTGTGTTTTTTTTATGTAAAGTTTTTTTTTGTTGGTTCATCGTCGCATTTCTTTTGTTTTGTTTTCGTTTGAAATCTTTATTTTTAGGGTTAAAGAGTGTTTTATATGCAGCCTCATGTTCGACGTGCTCTTCTTCTTTTTCTGCCGGCCACACCCCACCGCCCACCTATTTTGTTAACCTCACTATACACTGGGAGAAATCCTCATCATTGTTGTATAGCTGTTTTTGCAAGAAGATATTAATTTGCACATCATATCGTTAGTTTCATGGTCTTAACGGTTTTATAGTTGAAAAAAAAAACTTTTAAAAACTATCAATATTTTGTTTTCTGTGTAATTTTTTCATTTTCATCCCATTTGAGTTGCCTTCGTTTTTCATCAACGCGTTTGCCGTTTTTGTTATTTTCGGTTTTTCCTTTGAATTTATTTTTGTTCTTTTATAAACTCTGCGGGTTTTATTTTTAACAAGCGCACACATATACACTTGGCTGGTTAGATCACGCACACACGTACAATTGCCAATCAGTGAAAATGTTTTATAGAATTCCTCAGTCTATTTTCCTTTAGCATTTTGTGTTCTGTTTTAGTTTTTCTTTTTTTTTTCGGTGGCACGAGCAAAATGCAAATTAGCAAAAATTGATGGGGGAGTGGGTGGGCGGTGGAGTGAGTGGGAGGGTTGACAAGATCTTAATGAAGATGATCATTGATCTTTGATCTTCGCACACAAATTAGGCAAGAATAGTTTTGCATTTGGGAAAAGAGAACGTGAAGATTGGAATTCAATTGCGATGGAAAGAGGGGCAGTCGAAAAGCAAGATATATAGACCTCAGATACAAAGTTCTTAAACCATTTTAGATATTTTCACCTTATCGGAATTAGATCAATTAATGATGATAGTTTCCATTTCCTTGTAGCAACTTAAGATCTATATTCGATAATACAATTATGTGATGGGGGTATGATGCAAAATTAACCAAATTAAGATAACTACACAAACCTTTTAAAGTTCCTAGATATAAATATTAAAGTAGAGATCAAAGAGTATTACAAATATTACAGATCAGCATTTCCGGAAACCCTATACTAAACACTACAATAGTTTCGTATTAAGCAATATCTTAATGTGTTTATTTATAATTTTCAACTATAATTATCCACTTAAAAAAACAAAACAATCGTATTTACAAACTTAAATATAGATCAAGCACAATGATCGATTACTAAGCGATTCCAGTGAATCTATTTTCCTACCAATTTCCGGAAATTCTTCGTTCGATCTCAGTCATCTTCATCATCACACTTGGATGATCATTGAGTGAGGGTAGACACTGCATTTTTCCGCTTTCATTTGTTTGTGTGCCTCCGCCCTTCTTCTATTTAACATTTTTTTTATTTAACCCGCTCCGATCCGCACTGTTTCTATTTATATGGGCGTGCCTGTGTGTTGTCTTTTGCCCCGCTATAATTATAGCGCAGGTATTTATAATTATAGCATTGGCCATAGCAACTGGCGAATGTTGTGCAAGCGGGCGTCGCTGCAGGGGGTGGTGGGTGCCTTTTGGGGAGGGGGGCGGAGATTGCAGTTTCCTAGGAATCGATGTGGCATATGGTAGAGGTTCCTTCTTTCAACACAGAAACATCAAATCATGTAGTTGCTGGGGACTACTAACCTTTGGTCAATCGCATGATTTTTATCTCGATATTTTTGTATATTTATATTTTTAATATCATATGGATCCCTTAAATTATGAAAATCGAATCCATCTTTATAAAAATCTTCAGAATATCAACAGCGTAATCATATATAGATTCTAACGAAAATGTTTAGTTAATAATTAGAAGATGCTATTATAGATGGAAAAATATCTAATCAATCTTAAAAAATTATGTAACATCAGAGTGTGTAGAATAATTGTTGCCGTGTAAGATGCGATTGTTGATATGTTTGAGTAATGATGTTGACGGTTCTCTATCAAAGAGCCCAAAACGCCCATTTGTCTACCCAAGTTTTCTGTCTCTGTCGCCCCTGCTTTCCCCACCTTTCTCCCTTTCTGCGCCGCTCTTCCGCTTTGTGCTCTTCTGCCGGCGCTCTTTCTCTGCCATCCCATCGTAACTGTTTCGAAATTTGTGTTTATATTTGATTTTTTCGCCAGTTGGGCCAGTCGGCCGAGTGAAACTGAAATGAAAGCGCCTCCCTCATTTCCCAGCGAATGCCGAGGCCAAAGCGAACGCGCCAAACGCCAAAAAGAAAATACAAATAAAACTAAAAATCAAAATACAAAATAAAAATACAAATAGAAGAAAAGGAAAAGCAAATTCAAAATTTCACAAAACGACAAAACCAAAAGCAAATTCAAAACATCAAAAAACTAAAAACCAAACCCCAAAACACAATTCAACGTAAACCAAACACGCAGTTTTTGGAAATTCCATGAAAGAGTGCCTGGCCAAAAAGTTTATAACCAAATATCGAAAGCAAACGGACAAAAACTATACAAAAAACCATATAAGAAAACAAAGAAATATATGAAAAAGAAGCAAAAGTGGCAGCAGAAACCAAAGATTATTTATTGAGTGAAGTAAGCAGAAAAGTGAGAACACCTTTTATTCCACCTGAAAATCACATTTTAACAAGACAAATCAAATAAAAACCAGAGATAAACAGCAATTGCTTTATTTATTTATTTATTTTTCCGTTTATTTTTGCATGGTGTGACTGCGTGGGGGGTAACACTCACACACACACACACTTACACAGAGAGAAAATTAGAGAGTGTGAGAGAGAGAGAGTAGAAAGCATACTGCTAAGGTCATGGGAAATATGCAAATATTATGACACATCCGAAAGCAGAAGTGATCAGGAAGACGAAGAACCGAAAAAACCAGAAACATAGGCTAAAATGAAATTATATTATTAAGTGAAAAGTTGGAAACTAATCCAATAAAGACATTTCAACTCTTATCATTGATCGTCTTTGATCGAACTTTGATTGTCATTCGTATAAATTTTGATTTCATGAACTTTCGTTTGTTACCTGTGATTTTTGACTTGTGATCAGAGGTCTATGAACTACAGTGATCAGTATGTGTGATCTTTGATTTGTAATCCATATAATTTCTATAATCAGCAATCTATGATCGGTAATTTGTGAATGATTAAAATTATTTTACGAAAAGAACAACCAAATAAAATATGACTTTGATATTTGAAATAAAGTATTTCAAACGATTTTAAATTATAACTAATATAAAAAATTCTTATATTTATTTTTATTTTATTATTGATCAAAACAAAAAATGTAGTTATCTAAAGCAAAGAATGATGAAGTAACGACAACCATGATAAATTAAAAATGGGAGTCCCACATTTTTTGTACTTTCGAATTTCAGATTGATTGTTCGTGTGTAAGATAGCGCATATTGATAACCAATAAAAATTAAAGACGACCGATCTTTTGCATTACGATTCCTTTACTTTTCTGTAAATTTCACCCAAACACTTTAATGGATTGATAATTTTTATATATATCTTTTTTTTTGCAGCTCAAGAAGAGCCAGGAATTGCAAAAGCAACGGCTTTTCCACACATTTCAGGAGCAATCGAAGCAAATGGAATTGGAGCATAAGATCCAACTGGAGCACAAGTATCGAGTGAGTAGACTACGCAGCTCAGTTGATGTTCCACCAGTCTTGTTGTTGCTGTTGCTACTTATTTTATTTATTTTGTTCGTCTTTATACATAAATAATAATAATGATGATGATGTGGATATGACTCTGGCTGTGTGGGGGCGACAGACAGAAAACGAAAAAACATTAAAAACAAACGGCAAAGTAAATGAGAATTGAAACGAAATGAAACGAAATTATATGAAATATATATTATATTATCGTGCCGGAAGTGTCGGAAGCGTCTTGTGCGATGACTAAGCCCATCGTTAACACTCTATATAGGTATAGCCATGTCACAGAGGTATTTAATGTTTTAGAAAATGTCGCATTAAATCTTTGACGATCTCTATTCTACCCGACATTTATATTTTTCAAACTCAAAGTATTCAAAATGTCTCAAGATTTATTTGTATATATAAAGGTAGATTTTTGTAACCATAAATGAAAGACTTCACCAAGTTAATTTTATAAAATACTCTAATTGACTTAATTAGCGATATGAATACGTAATGGTTAATAGATAGAAGAATGATAGATTTAGAATAGCAACAGCAACGACAATTGAACTTTACCAACAGAAATGCATAAATTTTGATTACTCCTACATCACCACGATAAGAAACAACAAACAAACAAACGATTCTTTCTCGAACTTATTGCAATTATATAGTTTGCGGTGAATTCACATGGCGCTTTCCAGGAATTGCAAACCGATAGCATGGTGACAGCCACCGCGGCGGCAGCAGCGGAGCAACACCGGCAACTCCAGCAGCAGCATCACCACCAGCAGCAGCAGCAGCAGCCCCATCAACATCAACACCAGCATCAACAGCAGCAGCAACAACATCAACAGCAACATCAACAACAACAGCAGCAACATCAACAACAACAGCAGCAACATCAACAGCAGCAACAGGGACGCGGCAGAGACGGTATGAAACTCAAGCAGACATGCAGCGCCAATGCCAGTCCCGAGGTCAAACAGATTCTCAACGTAAGATATCCCATATCTAATACCCAAAGACCTGATCTGATCACATTCCCATCCCGTTGACAGTGCTTCATCATGAGCAGGAAGTCGCAGGCGACGACTTCAAATGGCACGACGTCGCCCTATCGGAAATGGTAAGAAGGGTTTGCCAGCAGATATATTTCCATAAGACCCTAAAAGTGTAACATCAATTGGTTATAATGATAAATGCAATAGAAACGCAATGCGTATTTGAATCCTAACTGAAAATAAATAAATTGAACCACATTGTCATATTGAAAACTCTTTATTTTCAATGCTGTGAAATTAATCTATTTAGAAAAAACTTTTTGCCTAAACAGACTTTCCAAATATTTTCTTTTGATGTATCTTCTATTTTTAGACAACAATCTATTTAAATTGTTTTAAAGTAAATAAACATCTGAGACACTTAACGTTGAAATAAATTTAAAATAATAGGTATACAATCAATGCCGAACCAATAAATCTTTTTCGAAAATGTTTTTTGAGTAATAAATCTCAAACAACATTGCAGAAAAGATATCATAAATTTTGCTTTGATTTTGTTTCTTTAACAATGTTTTTACGAACTAAAAAGTATTATTAATTTAAAATGTTATTAAATTTAATGCAATTTATCAATAAATAAATATTTATTAAATCACACATTTCTGAATCAATAAAAACTGTATAAGTTGATTACCTCAAAAGGAATTTAGCACAAAAAATTCTATATCTTTAAATGGCCTTCCACCATTCCCACTTATTGCTACCATAAATAATCCTTACGTATTTCCTTTACAGTGGCGTGGTGAAGAGCTCCTCGGGCGAATCCCTCCCAGCGGGAACCGTGACCAGTGCACATCCCTACAAAATACCTCAGCCGCCCTCCTCACTGCTCAAATATGAATCTGATTTTCCGCTAAGGAAGACAGGTGAGTGAAATAACCGACGGCCCTCGAATATTATTACCATGTCACCAGGTGGGATGCGATTAAAACCCCCTGTGATGAGGAAAAGAACGCAGTGAATGAAAAGCTAAAGCTCTTGCCTGAATTCCGCATTAAAATCCCTTTTTTTTTGCCTGACACTGCTGCTGTAACTTCTACTTGTTGTCTAACCACAAAAGGGGTGCAAAACGATAGAAGGAGGAAGTAAACCAACAATTTTTGCATTAAATTGTCAGATAGAAATATATTTTGTATGGACACGTAACCAAAATGCCAGAGGATGAATTGTTTAGATAATTTTTGTTGGGCAACACCTGAATATAATAGGGTTCGTTTCTGTTGGGTAAGATTAGCTTTTAGGTAAAAGTTTTGCTCAAGCTTAAGCTCACTTATGAAACAGTTGATCTAGAACCATTTCTGGTACTTGGTTCTTGGTGTTGAAATTATGTGGTTATATAAAATAAATTGGGGCATGTTGAAAATACGGATTATTAAAGTTAACTAATGTTGTATAGAAGAGTAGGTAAAGGCTTTCATTGTTATTAATATTTACAAAATAAATGTCTAGTTTTGGTTTTACTTATTATCAAATTAAACAAATAATAGACTATTTACAGTTTGACTTACAGTTTTTTTATTAAACACTATTAAAATGTAATGTATAATTAGTAAATCAGTTGTAAATCACATTATATTCCAAAGGGCATACAGACTTTGTATCAATATAAGATTATTTACAAGTTTTGTTTAACAATTTGTAAGTGGTGGGTAGAAATTCTTCAAGTCGCATTCAGAAATTCAAGGAAATATTAGTTGATAGAGATATACAAAAGCATGGTCCTAACTACTAACTGCAAGTTTGTTTCAAACGCAGAGCTCAAATCCTATATTTGTATTTATAAGACCGAAGCTCTTAACCCCCGAACTAACCGAACACATGTGTGAACCGCTCCCACAACAGCATCCGAACCGAACCTGCTGAAGATCCGGCTGAAGCACAGCGTCATGGAGCGCAAGGCCCGCATTGGCGGACCGGCGGGAGCCCGGCGCCACGAACGCCTCCTTCAGGCGGCGCAGCGCAGGCAGCAGAAGAACTCCGTTCTCACAAGTACGTATCCATCCAGAGGCAGAACCCCGAATCCGAATGCTCAGGTCGGAGGAAGATGTAGCGAGGGGTAAAATCAAGTTGAGTCAGTTGGTGGAAAGATTAGTAATAGTGTTTGAAAAGAGGTTCCTTACACGTTTTATTAGTTTTTATACTAAACATGAAAATAATTATTAATAGATTTATTACCATCTAGCTTACGAATTCACATTTACATTTTTTGTCATTGAAAATATTTTTAAAACCTTAATCAACCTAAGGTTGTCTAATATTAAAGTATCTCTTTTTTATGACTTTAATCAGTATATATTTCTTGATTTTAGGGACATTATTAAAGATTTACAATCTGATTTCCAAGATAAAATGACTGTTTTTTAAAATTTTAATTACACTGTTTTGACTTATAAATAGATTTATAAATCAATTCCTTAATTGATTATGACAGAACCAATTTAAACACATACATAAGTTTAGATCTTTATATTTATAAGTATTAAAGTTATTATATTATAATTATAATAAGTATTATAATTATAATTATAATTACTTAGACCACAAAAACATTTCAATTGATTATTGTTTTAATACTGTTTAATATTGTTATTATAATCGTTGTCGTTATCGTTTATTCGTTGTTTTGGCTGTTGTTTTTACTGCTGTTTAATTAACCCCATAAAGACGCCCCAACTGACCAACTCGCTCAGCTGAATTAACCTTGTCCCTTACTGACCGATACGTACGGATTATCTCTTGCATTGAATCGCGATTAATTAGTGTTTATCCCATAATGAATTCACAGACTGCAACAGTACACCGGATTCGGGACCCAATTCGCCGCCCTCGGCAGCCGCATTGGCGGTGGGCGTGGTCGGTAGCCGTGGATCGCCGACGAGTGCACCCATCCAGGAGGAGAACGAGGAGGGCAGCCAATACCAGCCGGGCCAGAGGAGCAGCATCAACGATTTGCCGTTGTTCAGTTCGCCATCGCTGCCCAATATTTCGCTGGGTCGACCGCATTTACCCAACTCGGCGCAGGCACAGGCGCATGCCCAGGCTCAAGCTCAGGCCCACGCTCAGGCCCAGGCCCAGGCTCAAGCTCAGGCCCAGGCCACGGCCCAGGTGAACTATGCCATGTTTGCGGCCCTGCACCAGCATGTGACTGCCACCCAGGGAGGCGGAGGCCAGCCGGGAGGCTACTACGGTCCGTTGGGCATGTTCGGGGGTCGCCAGCCACCGACACCGCTGGCCATGATTCCGGCCACGGGCATTGCGCCGCAACAGCCGTCCCCGGTGGTGCGCAGTGCGTCGGCCACCTCGACATCCTCGTCGCAGGCCTCGCTGGTGGGCGATGTGGCACCGCCGCAGGCCCATGCCGCCTCCACCATTCTGCCCTCGTCCTCGTCCTACATGCAGCAACTGGGTGGCGTGGCCGGTTCGGCGGTAAATCTCCATGCAGCCGCCGTGGCTGCAGCGGCAGCAGCAGCAGCCGCCGCCGGATCACTGCCGCCGACGAATAGTCATGGCCATGGCCATGGACACGGACCCCATGCGCACGGCGCACACGCCCACGGGCACGGTCATGCCATCTATGGAGTCCACCAGCACAACGTACCCATCACGGATGCCCAGGTGGCGCAGGTGCATCTCCACAAGCAGGGCCACCGGCCGCTGGGACGGACGCAGTCCGCACCACTGCCGCTGGGTCATCCAATGCTCACCGGAGCCGGGCAGCTGAATGTGGTCCAAACGCACTACGAGAATAGTGAGGTAAGTGTCCGATTTTTTGATATATCAAATAAAATAGCACATCAAAATACTCAACAAATACTATACAAATAAAACACATCGTTCATTGGTCAAACATAGCTGCGAATGACATTTTGGTAAAATGATTATTTTTGAAAATGTTACAAAAAAAGGGTGTGAATGCAAATCTGATTGGAAATTTTGTTACGAGTTCAACAAGGTATGACATTCCATTATGGGACCATTATTTACATTGCCATCGTTAAAAAAACGATATTTCTGTTCGAAAAATGGTTAAAATCCAATTTTCACATATCGCATTTTTCTTAAGGGGTTTAATGATATTTTTCAAAAATTTTACAAAAAAAGCTGTGAATGCAGTTCAATTGGAAATTTTGTAACGAGTTCAAAAAGGTATGCCATTCCATTATTGATCAATTATTGGCGTTGTGATCGTAAAAATACTGATAGTTTTAAGCGAAAAATGGTTAAAATCCCATTTTTCACATTTTTCATGAGGTTTTCATCATGAGTTTTCTTTAAAATTTTACAAAAAAAGTTGTGAATGCAGTTCGACTGGAAATTTTGTTACGAGTTCAACGAGGTATGCCATTCCAATATTGGACAATTATTGGCGTTGTGATCGTAAAAATGCTGATATTTTTAAGGATGGGTTAAAATGGTTAAAATCCCATTTTTCACATTTCACATTTTTCATGAGGTTTTCACCATGAGTTTTCTTGAAAATTTTACAAAAAAAGTTGTGAATGCAGTTCGACTGGAAATTTTGTTACGAGTTCAACGAGGTATGCCATTCCAATTTTGGACAATTATTGGCGTTGTGATCGTAAAAATAGTGATATTTTTAAGCGAAAAATGGTTAAAATCCCATTTTTTCACATTTCACATATTTCGTGAGGTTTTCATCATGAGTTTTCCTGAAAATTTTACAAAAAAAGCTGTGAATGCAGTTCGATTGGAAATTTTGTTACGAGTTCAACGAGGTATGCCATTCCAATATTGGACAATTATTGGCGTTGTGATCGTAAAAATAGTGATATTTTTAAGCGAAAAATGGTTAAAATCCCATTTTTCACATTTCACATTTTTCATGAGGTTTTCACCATGATTTTTCTTGAAAATTTTACAAAAAAAGTTGTGAATGCAGTTCGACTGGAAATTTTGTTACGAGTTCAACGAGGTATGCCATTCCAATTTTGGACAATTATTGGCGTTGTGATCGTAAAAATAGTGATATTTTTAAGCGAAAAATGGTTAAAATCCCATTTTTTCACATTTCACATATTTCGTGAGGTTTTCATCATGAGTTTTCCTGAAAATTTTACAAAAAAAGTTGTGAATGCAGTTCGACTGGAAATTTTGTTACGAGTTCAACGAGGTATGCCATTCCATTATGGGACCATTATTTGCATTGCTATCGTGGAAATACTGAAATTTATGAGCGAAAAATCATAACATTTTTGTTAGAAATCACATTTAAAAATTTATTTTAAACTGTGTTTAGATCTTTTTTAACCGTTGAATGTTTATATTAATATTTATATTAACCTTTTGCAAAGACTGTATTAATACCGCTCTTTACATTTTATTTTTAGGCGGAACGCCAAGCGTATGAGCACCAGGTGCTGAACCAAAAACTCCGCCAGACCGTCCTGACCCGCAGTGGAGCAGCTGCAGCCGCCGCCGCAGCGAATGTGGTGGTGCGGGAGGCGCAGCTAAAGGAGGAGGACGACGACTCGGCCGCCGAGGTGATGGACCTCACCGACAAGAAGAAACCGCCGAAGACGGTGCTGACCAACACGATAGCGACCAGCACGTCCCAGAATCTGCCCGATTCTCTGGCAGCGGCGTTGGCAGCAGCAGCCGCCTACCGTGCCCCGCCCTCCACGTCCAACAATCCCGCCTCCGCCACAAAGTCCGGGATCATCAAGCTGCGGGACCAGGAGTATCTGCAACAGCAGCGCGAGCAGCTCTTGCTGCTGCAGCAGGAGGATGAGCTGGCCAAGGGCCTGATGCGACCGCTGTCGCGAACGCTCAGTAGTCCGCTTGTGCCGTTGGGGCCACATGGTCTTAGCCAGATCCCGGACACGGGACAGCAGCCGGCGCCAATTGCCACATCCTCGTCGGCCGATCACATACCGCCCGTGAACCTCTCGCTGCCGCATCGCCAGCACCGCCAGTTGATGAGCACCCTGTACGCCAGCCAGTTGCGCAACCACCATCAGCCACCGGCGAGTGGCTCGCCGCCGCACAAGGTCACCACCGGGCTGGCCTACGATCCGCTGATGCTGAAGCACTCGTGCATCTGCGGCGACAATGCCCAGCATCCGGAGCACAGTGGCCGGTTGCAGAGCGTGTGGGCGCGGCTGAATGAGACGGATCTGGTGAAGCGATGCGATCGCCTGCGCGCCCGCAAGGCGACGCAGGAGGAGCTGCAGACGGTGCACACGGAGGCGCATGCCCTGCTCTTTGGATCGAATCAGTGCCAGTTGAGCAGGCCCAAGTTGGAGAACACGTTGTCGGCGAGCTTTGTGCGCCTGTCGTGCGGCGGCTTGGGTGTGGATCTCGATACCACGTGGAATGAGCATCACACGGCCACCGCTGCCCGAATGGCCGCTGGATGTGTGATCGATTTGGCGCTGAAGACGGCCAAGGGTGATCTACGGAATGGATTCGCCGTTGTCCGGCCGCCGGGCCATCATGCGGAAGCCAATCTGGCCATGGGATTCTGTTTCTTCAACTCGATCGCCATTGCGGCCAAGCTGCTGCGCCAGCGGATGCCCGAGGTGCGGCGCATCCTCATCGTCGATTGGGTGAGTGTTTGATTTAGTTGCCCCTGATTGGCATTAAAATCTCTAGAGGCTTAAAATATAAATCACTTATAAAGGTGCTCCCAAATATTTGGACACCTTTAAAAGTGGTTTAAAATTTGCAGAGATTTCCATTGCTAAATCCCTTTCTGAAACTAAAACATCTTTCTTTGCAGGATGTGCATCATGGCAATGGCACCCAGCAAGCATTCTACCAAAGTCCCGACATTCTATATCTTTCCATACATCGACACGATGACGGTAACTTCTTTCCCGGCACAGGCGGACCCACAGAGGTAAGTGACAGCAGGAAAACCTTTATGATTTAGCTATTAATCACATGATTTATCCACAACAGTGCGGCTCCGGTGCTGGTCTCGGCTTCAACGTGAACATCTCGTGGTCTGGGGCACTGAATCCGCCGCTGGGCGACGCCGAGTATATCGCTGCATTCCGTACCGTTGTGATGCCCATCGCGCGGAGCTTCAATCCGGACATTGTGCTGGTCTCCTCCGGCTTCGATGCGGCCACCGGCCATCCGGCTCCGCTGGGCGGCTACCATGTCTCGCCGGCCTGCTTCGGGTTCATGACCCGCGAACTCCTCCAACTGGCCAACGGCAAGGTGGTGCTGGCCCTCGAGGGCGGCTACGATCTGGCCGCCATCTGTGATTCCGCCCAGGAGTGCGTGCGGGCGCTGCTCGGCGATCCCGCCGCCCCGATAGCACCGGCCGAGCTGGAGCGACCGCCCTGCCAGAATGCCATCAACACGCTCCAGAAGACGATAGCCATTCAGGTGCTTATTGAGATCTATGTCTATGTTTGGTTAACAGTCGTTGACTGATGTGTCTTTTATTCGGTTTTGCAGCAAACGCATTGGCCCTGCGTGAGGCTGCTGGAGCACACGGTGGGTCTGTCCGCGCTGGAGACGCTCAAGGTGGAGCACGACGAGTCCGAGACGATCAACGCCATGGCCGGCCTCTCAATGCAGTCGATGCACAGGTGGGTTTGGGCGATACAATGTGCTCCGAAGGATAGAAACAAATACCCAAATTGAAAAGAATGTATCAAGAGTTACTGATCTTATTTTTCTTATCCTCCCTACAGAACTCTATCCCGCGATGATTCCGAGGAGCCGATGGATCAGGATGAAACCAAATAAGAGGCGACGCAGGCGGATAATGAGAGGGAGGGCGTAGCGAGAATTTGTGGGCGTGGCTAGGGGAATGGAGAGGGGCGTGGCCGCAAGCTGCTCAATGCACATTTAGTTATTTGTTGTAGTTGAATTGATTGTTGTTGCTGTTGTTGTTGTGGCGCTCGCTTGCAATTGTTGTCGTTGTCATTGATCGTCTATAGCTAACATCCTATCTCTCTCCCTCGATCGACAATTATATCCGAATTCCCCCTATCCTTAATTAATTAAACCGCCCCTCGAAAATGAGAAACATCGAAAAAGCAGAAGGGGGAAATAGTAAAAGAAGCAGAACAGGGCCTAAAGTTCAAAATGGTGGCTGTGCCTCCAAAAAAGAAATAATTATAATAATTAGAAAAGGTTAACCCTTAAAAACTGGGGAATTTTATATGAATACATATATTTATATATATAGCATATGGTGAGAATTTAGTTGTAGAATTTCTTGAGAGATTTTTTTTTTTTGTTTTTTTTAAGGTGAGATGAGAGTTATTTTAACGCACAAACAAACACACGCAACTCAATGTATCTTATTATTATGATTATAATTTAAGTAAGTGTGTTAAAAGGATATAGAACCACTAACCTAATGGTAAATCAGTAAACTATAAAGTTAAAGTTAAAAGGAGATCAGGTGCAAGAAGCGTGTGTTTTTTTTAGGTAAGGTTCAACCTCAAAGTCCCAAATATAAACCCCACCACGCCCACTTATCCCGCCACCCCAGATAGAGATCGAGAGAGAGAGAGAGAGAAAGCGAGAGAGAATTACGTGTTATGTAGAATGCTTTAGTTGATATAAGATATAAGAAAACTTAACATTTAACAAATTGAAAGAAAAACCTAAAAACTGAGAAATCTTTTTGTACAATTTATAGTTTAGTCCAAGTTTCAAGTACAACATAATATTATTTAAAGAATTCTATATATATCTAAATATATATATTGTGCAATAAATGTGAGAAAATGAAAATCGAGTGCAGAGCAAAAACAAAAACACACAAAAGCAGAAACTAAAACTAAAACGAATAAGAGAAAATTGTTGTTAAATGTTGCCGAGATCTTATATACGTATGTATACCTAATAACTGTTACAATAATAACCCTTTATATATATACACATATATATGAATATATATATATATATAAATGCACATGTGTATTTCACCGTGTGTGTAACGATAACGATGTTCAACAAATGTCTGAAATGAAGTAAAACTATTATTATATGTAAATAAAACACAAAACAAAATGAACAATTTTAATAAAAAACAAACAAAAAAAATACAAAACCCAAACAGATTCACGCTTACACACACACACATACGGCCTCGGCAGGACCCGAAAGGCGTGAATCGGGAAAATTCTGGAATACCCGTTTAACCGCTAACCGTTAACTGTAATACCGCTGTAATTGTAATTGTATTTGTACTCGTGTACCTTTAGCTGTCTATAGCCGTCTCTTTCTATCTCGCTACCTAACCATAAAGGAGCACCTCTAAAGCGGAAAAAAGGAGCAACAGACAAGGATCAAAAAATAAGTAAGAGATGGGGAAGATAAGGAATAACAAAAGGATGAAGATGAAGCACAACGAGAGATGGACCGATTGGCTCCAACTGGAAGAAACAATTGTTAACAAATCGAAACAGACACTAAAAACTAAACAGAAAAAATGAAATTTCAAATATGTAACTATTAAGCTAAGCAAAGGAGATGCCATTGCCAGAGTTATTTTTTTCCCCCTCTTTCATAAGAAAACATTATTTGCGCTCAACAGTTTAAACATAGATTAAACATAGTCGGTTTCGAAAAAATTTAAAAAAAAATATATACATATTTTGAACAGTTTTGTCTAAACGATTTAAAATACAAATTTTAAATTGCTTCTGTTCTGTTTTTTGTCTAAGCTCTTTTTTAGGTTCTATTTCTGGTTCCCTAATTTAAATTTGGCAATGGCTAGAGGGTTATCTTACATTTCCACCACCAACGTCCATTTACCTCCTCTGATTAGAATTTTTTGAAAAACCCTAAACTGATAACAAGAATCATTAAAAAATTATAAGAGCAAAAAAAATATTGTTGTTGCGCACTGCAAAAAAAAAACCAAAAATTAATTCCAAAAGCTGAGAAACAGTAACAAAATGGCTTAACAAACCGAAAGCAAAATCAAATATTTATATTTTGTTTATTGTTGCACAAATAAGTCCAAGGAACAGAAAACATGAAACTTTTAAGAGAAATAAATAATGTGTGTCGCTTTTTCTAAACGAAATAAAACAAAGAAATCGTCAAGAGTAAATAATAGTTTTCCTGTCTTTTATTTGTATCCCTTTCTGGGCTGGAAATATACTACCATCGATGGGAGGATACCTCTCAGAACTCTATAACTCGAAATACAGTAAGTATATTTTAATGGAAGGAAAAGTTCATAAACTTTTCTGAGCTCTAAAAGTTCGACCGCTCCTGTGCTAAAAATAGATTAGACAAGTTATTTAATTTTGAGATAATCATTAGCATATTTATTATCTTTTAAAGCTGTTTAGGATTTGAAAAAACTATCAAAATCAAAGTCAACATACCCAAAGATGCGGCAAGACTTTTTTGTATAAAATAAAAACATAAGTGTAAAAGCGAGCCAGCTAAGATGGAATTTGAGATCGTTTTCTTTATTTAAGATATATGTATAACATTGGCGGTTAACAATATTTGGTTTAATAAATATTTAATTAAATAGTTAGGTCGTTGAATTACCGATAAACAACTTTCACAATGCCAGAGGCAAAATTTTTGGTGTTTTCTTTCAATCTGGAAATGTACTGAAGTTATTCCTAAAATTAAAGGTAACGAGAAAGATTATTATGCTAATAACGAGTTAGCAGCTACGCATGTTATTTATAAATGTAATTGAGTATCTCTCCATTCTGCTGTAATATGCCTTATGCCAACATCTTCAGGTCACGGGTCTCACATATCTGTCAGATTTGATTGTGCTCTGGGGGGGAACTCAGAAACACAGGAAACTCCTCCGGGATGTGGATGTGGTATTTTATCTGGGTTCGGGATCGAACAAACAACGCGAAGCCAGAATCGTATATATATTATCTGTTAATATCTGTCTATATAGTATAAGTTTTGCGGTGTATACGTGTACTTGTCAACGCTTCTGATTCGGCATAGGATTCCTTTTTGGATTCCACTATCTGCCCGTCCATTTGCACTTAGAAGCTAATAATTGAGACTGCATTCGGGCACATCCACCTTCATATGCCTCACTGCCGCGCCACCATGTCGAGACCGCCCTCTTCCTCCATCTTGGACAGGAACTTGATGGCTCGGTGCGACGGCTCCGTCTGGCGAGCCATGTCGATTAGATCCAGAAGTTTCTTAATGCCAATAAAAACGCTAGAGAAGTCGAAAAGGTTATCAGTGTTTAAGTTTAATATGTATATATTTGCCTTGAACTTAATAGGGTAAAAATAATACAAGAAAAAACATAACACATCAGAGGAGATTATATTATATTAATAAATATTCTAAAGAAATATCGTATAAAAATTGTAAAAATATAAAATGATTCAAGAGTGACTAATGCAACATGTTTCAGTTATTATACAAATGAATAAATATAAAATGATGGGGAAACGCAATAAATTACGAAGTCTCTACTGGAAGATAAGTCAATTTAAAGAAGATTTTATAAAGAAAATTTTTTTGTTTTTCTAACACCATTAATGGAAATCAAGACTGTATAGTTTGAAGTTGACCTTTTTGAGAATTACTATTTATCCCAAGAAAATATTTATTCCCAAAAAAACAAAAGTTTAAATCAAAAATCTTACCGCTTGCCGGACATCTTCTTGCCAATCGCCTGGATCTCGCCCTTAGTGAAGATGTCAGTGTGCTCGAGTACGGCCGAGACGTGTTCCGGCTGTGAGAGATTGGGCACGTGGAGCACCGAGGTGAAGGCCGTCAGCATCTCCATCTCCTCGAGAACCTCCCTGCAAAAGATTAGAGATTAGATATAGAGAATACAGGAGAAACAACATTGCTCCCAGCTCACCTCCTACTCGAGGTACACAAAATGAGCAGCTTGCGACCCTTGGGCGGCTGTTTCTTGAGCAGCACCAGCAGCGCCTGCAGAGTCATATTGGAGTAACGAGGACCAATCGAGCCGTAGTCCAGCAGACGCTCCACATTGTCCACCACAATGCAGCTGAGCGTGGAGCGGTAGGCGTCGTCGAAGATCTTGCGGATGTGCAGGCACTTGGCCGACTCAGTGTAGCCCACCATGTCCTCGGGTGAGCAGACCTTCACGAACGGGAAGTCCGACATCTTGGCCAGCTGGGCGGCCAGAGCTGTCTTACCAGAGTTGGGGGCTCCGGCCACGAGTACGGATACCAGGCCACTGGACTCCGGAGCCTTGGCCTGCTGCACGAGGAGCATGCCGTCCTCGAGGAGATTGCTCACCGGAGTGCCCCAGTTGACTACGCCCCTGGACAGCATATTCTCGAGTATTTCCTGGGCCGTGCCGAATGCCGGCTTGATATCGTTCTCCAACGAATGCATAAAGTCATCCCGATTCACCTTCAACTTCTCCATGGCCTCGGGATCGACGGTCACCTTGGCATCGGCCTTGATCAGCCGGTTCATGGCACTCGACTGGGCGGCACGCACCAATCCTTCGAGCTCGGCACCACTGAAATTCTTTGTCAGCGTGGCAATCTCCTTGTTGTCCACATCGTCGTTGATTTTGTTGAAATCACGCATACGCTTGGTATGAATGTTCAGGATCTGAACGCGACCTTGTTCGTTGGGCAGGCTGATCTCCATTTGGACCTCCAGACGACCGGGTCGCAGCAGTGCCTCATCGATCATGTCCCTGCGATTGGTCATGCCGATCACCAGGATGTTGTTCAGCTGATCCACACCATCGATTTTGGTCAGCAGTTGATTGACAACGGTGTCGTGGACACCACTATTACCGGCCACCGAGCCACGCTGCTTGCAAATGGCATCGATCTCGTCGAAGATTATGATATGCAGCCCGCTGTTGGGTCCCAGGCGTTTCTCCTCCTCCTCTGCCTCGGCGAACAGGCGGCGCACATTGGCCTCCGATTCGCCCACATACTTGTCCAGAATCTGCGGCCCGTTAACAATCTTCGGTTCGCGGGCATTCAGCATGGTGCCGATTTGACGGGCCATCAGGGTTTTGCCAGTGCCCGGAGGACCATAGAGCAGGATGCCCTTGACGTGCTTGCAGCCCAGTTGCTCGACAAGTTCTGGGGGAAAGACGCGCGAGGCGAAGGCCCGCCGGAATATCGAGTTGAACTCCTTGTCCAGGCCACCGATGCCCATCTTGCCAAAGTCCCAATCGGGATTTATGATGGACTGGCGTACCACCTTGCCCTTGCTCTTGCCCTGCAGATTCAGGGAGCTGTTCTCGGCCTTCTCGAACTGGACCACCGTGTTGCCCAGAATCCGGCCGAAGCGCACATTCCGCATGGCCGGGTCCTTGCCCTCGCCCAGTGTCTTGGGATCGATGGCCTCCAGCGATTTAACGGCCAGGCCCAGGAGCTTCTTGTCCTTGAAATTGAAGACCAGCGATTGGCCGACGGTTAGGGCCATGCCAGCGAACTGCATGATGAACTCCTTGGCCATTTGATCGGAGTCATAGGGCTCCTGGGAAACACTGTGGGAGGAAACATGTGGGTACAAAACAATCAATATTACATAATCCCTACTAACGTTTTCTTCTGCAGAAAGTCCGTCTCGAAGGAGACGCAGGTGATGACATCCGAGTTGGCATCGAAGCGGTAGGGCCGGACCTCCAGTTCCTGGTTAATGGACACCATGGCCCACTTCCGTTGGACCAGGGAGAAGCCCACATAGCCCCGGGGCACCTCCACCGTCTTTTCCAGGGCGAAAATGAAATGCTGACCAGCAGCTGGCGATATGTCCGCATACCTGAAGGGATTCGAATGGGTCTATAGAATACCAGCACATGAATGTATCAGAATAAGGCACGCACTTCACATCCTCGGGAAAATCGGACACATTCACAATGGCCCGGTTGGTCAAGGACAGCTCGTCCGTGGGACATTTTGTAGCTTTCAGGCGCTGCAGAGGTTATTATTTACCTATTAGCACAGAAAATGTCTATAAAAAATGAAAAGCCAACTCACATAAGACATCTCTTTAGTTTTTGCCCAATCTGGATCCTTTTTTTGGGGGTTGTTTACACTCTTCCTAAAAATCAATAATCTCTTAGGGATAATAGAAGTTGTGACCAAACAATTTGGGGTGCTTTATGAACTGATTCACCTTTACAGGCGTTTAACAGTGTCACCTGACTTGGTCCTACTGAATCTCAGTCAATTCACAATTAGTAGAATTAGCTAAATCCTTAGAACATAAGCTCCTATTTTTTTTCAATCGATGAACCCAAACGCGCCCTCGTATAAGCTTCTGCAGTGTTAGAAAACGTCAACAGAGGCTCAGAAAAATGTAATAGGATATACCCCTGATATCGAATACTACTAATCTATCGATATTTTCCGTCATAATTAAAATTATCTATTATATTTCTTAAGCATTTATTTATATAAATATATCGATAGATATTATGTAAATATTTTATCAATATACTATTGTTCCAAAATTATTATTTTCCAAAACCTAAACCTAAACAAAAAAACGGAAGACTTAGTAACCATTGAATAGTCCAAATTACATGTCATTCGGGTTTGTAAGGCACAACATCATTTCCATTTCAGATTTTCGGCCTTTCGGAGTGAAAATTTATAGTTCCTTATAATTTTTTTCTACATCTTTTCTGAGAACGAGTTTTGCCCATTTTTCTATGGTTTTCTAAAGATCTGTTCACGGAGAAAGTCGCTATTTACCAGTGCAGCAGCAGTGAGTATTTGATTTAAGAATGAAAAGGACATCTTGAGAAATAACTTTTAACAAGAAGTGCAAACATTTTAAAGATCCGCGATGACTTAATCATTTGAATTTATAAATTCGTTTATTTCCGCTTTGAATTCTGTTGTTGGTTGCAACATGTTAGCTGCAACTTCTTGGTTGCATCATGTTGGCTGCAACTTGTTCGATGAGCGCTTGCCACGCACTTTAATAAGCTATTGCCTCAGAAAACGGTTTTACTAAAGCAACTTTACTGCAAATAACATCAGTGCAATGTTTAATTTAATTAGCCTACTTTGTAGAGAATAAATTAATTTGTTGTTTTTGGGTACCGCGCCAAAGTTTCTTTAAAAAATGTTTTAATATAAAGAGGTTCTTGAAAATGGCTTAATTTTAAAATAAAAACATTTTTTTTTTGTATTTAATAGATTAAAGCAAACGAGTCTAAAGTTATACATCTTTTCATAAAGAGTTTCTTAAAACCTTGAAAAAACTTTGTTCTTATTTTATGTATTTTATTCTTATTGAATAACTCTGATATATTTTTTAATATTACTTTAAAACATAATTTAGACACAGAGAAAAATGTCAAAATGCCAAATTAGTTTTTGGAACCATAGCCTTTTCTTCAGTGTTCGAACATGTTCGAGGTTGGTAGTCTATATAACGCACCGGGACTCACTACACGTTTGTTATTGTTAGTTATACCCGAGTCGCATGCGGTTCGTTACCTCAAAAAATTCAAAATATCTCCGTCGTGTGCGATTGCCGGAATCGGGGGAATTCGATTAGGAAACGAATCTTTATCACAAATGCCGAATGCCAGTGTTTACGTAATAGTATAGTAAAGTAGTATTTTACTTTTACCGCCTTCATATTATATTTTTTTTTTTACTGTGAGTGCGTGTGAAGAGAGTAAACCGAAAACGAGAAATAAAAATAAAAAGGAAAACTGCAGCCAGTGGAAAAGAGCGTGGAAAATACGCGGACTACCTGTTGAGCCAAAGATCTCTCCGGATTAATGGTTTTTTTGTTTGGTTGGCCGAAGGTCGCGGGCTGAAACCCTTCCCCTTTTTGCCGTGCCCGGTGCACGTGCATTTAAAGTAAAAAAAAATATATAATATTTGTAAAAGTTATAAACATAAATCATGGAAGAGTCCCCGTTTCGCTCCGCACTGTCTTTCTCGCCGAGAAGGCTTCAGATTTTGCTAATCCTACAATGCGCGGTTATCATCACCGGCTTCAACTTGGAGCAGAGATTACCGATCGTGAAATACGGACATCCACATTCGCACTTCGGCTACTCGGTGGCCACCCACACAATTGGCGAGGTCAATGGGCCCAACAAAACTAATTGGTAAGTGGCGCCACAAAATAAGGAATATAATCCCCAGAAGGATTATCGAAATATAAGAGCAATTACGCAATTCTAAAGAGAATCGTTTGCAAAAATTCAATTTGGTAAAATGGTTTAGGCTTTCTTTAGCAACAAGTACAAAATAAATTTAAAACAAACTTTTTTGTTAATAGTGTTTGGAAGGCCAGTTAACTTTAACTATTATATATTTCATAAAGTGAATACTCAAAAATTGGTTATAATAAAAGTAACATTAGCAATAAACGTAAAATCTTACTTCAAGCTTGTAGTATTATTCCAAAAAATCATAGAAATGTGCAGTTTTAAGTTACACAAATATGATTTATTTTAAGTAAATGAAAATGATATGATATTTCTGATAAATTATGTTAGTAATTATAAACTGATTCACAAAAAAATATGTATTTAAATAGTTCAATCAACTTTTTCACCATTTCTAAATACTCCGTTACGGTTGCTAAGACTTAAAACCTCTTAAATGATTTACTACCAAAATGTATAGTTGCTTGTATTCCATTTTTCTGAAGAAAAATTTTAGGGTAAACTAAACGATGAGGATCAGGTAAAAGAGAATCGCCAGCAACTTGTCTTGTCTAGGTAAAAGCAAAAAAAAAAAACCGAATTCTTGGTGGCACGCGGGGAATCTCATCGGTGCGAAAACAGGTTTTTATTTTCGCCAAATCGATTTCAGCTTAATTGACTGGCATTGATTGTTATTAATCAGCAGCACAGACAGCAACAACAACAGATAATAATTTGCATTGCAATCGTCGATATTGTTGTTGTTGGGGCTTTCAATGTTTGCTAATGCGCGAAACTTGTTTCGAGTCGTGTTTTTATTGTTGGATTACCATAAAGTGTCTGAATATTGAGTATTTCGAGAGATGATGCCAGGCTTTAAATAGTTTTCCGCCAAACGCAGTGGATTGAAGTGAATCGAAATAAATAATAAACTAAATGCATTGCTAAATGCATGACAGCAATTGCAAAACATGTTGGATTAATCAGATTATTTATATTTATGGTAAATATAAGGCTAGTTTGACTAACTGAAATAGATAGTAAGCAATATTTTTGGTCTATATATAAATGAAAACGATCTATACATAATAAATTCCAGTTCTACGAGCTAGTATTATTTAAAATTATCTGGCTTAAAACATTTAAATGCATAAAGATGCATAATACTGGAACAAATCCAACTCTTCAATTTTTTCGCTCTTTGGGAAATTCAAAAGACTCATCGCCTGGGTAAACCATTTATTTATTTAGCGATAGGGAAATGAGTTCTGGGTACGAATGTTACTTGTTTGTCTTCGTATTTGAGTAAGGATTCGCTCTGTTTGTTTTTGAAATATTTTCGAGTTTCTGGCTGTTTATTTTACATCTTTTATTTTTGCCAATATTTGTGACCGGCTTATCTGCGCAGTTTAACGTCTTTTTTTGCCTGCTATGTTTACATTTTTTTTTATGGGGCAGATAGCGAGTGGCAGATAGTCTGAGAACAGGGGAAATGTTTGTCTTCCTTTCGAAATGAAAGCCCTTCCCTTTTTTTTCACATTTGCTGCCCCGTCGAGTGTTTTTGCTTAACCCCTTAAATTCGCACTCTTTTTTGAACCGGAGCGGATGTCGATTAATTTGCATTTGTGACAGGAGTTTGGTGTGGCACTGTGGCACTCATTAAAGGTGGCATTGGTCGAGTGGTCGGGTAATGTGTGTCTGCACTCCCTCGAAATGGCAACTATGTTGGCCTCCTCCTTTTTTCTATATTGGCAAAGCCAAACTCGGCAGACAAAACGGAGCCAGACGGCAATGGCCATAAAAATGGGCAGACAACAAATCTGGAATCAATAATACAAGACGGCGGCTTGGATGCGCCAATACACAGCGAACTATTAAGTGGTATATTGTATATAGTTGTACTATGTACTATGCTCACCTGAACTTCAAACCCTTTTGACAGCTATTAAATAGTTATTTCTACTAAATAATTAAAGAAAAATAATTGGACAAATTTAGCTGTCAAAATGATATGAATTATATGAATCGATAAAGTTTAAGCTTGTTTGAAATATTATTGCAGAGTGATATGAAACATATGTTTTGAAAGCAATGCTTTTGTTGATTTAGCCACCATTTAAATTATAAAATTAAGGTTGTATTGGAAAAATGAAACAATATCTATATTTTTTTAGACTCATAAACGTTTATCTATATTTTGTTATACGTTTTTGTATAGTGTAATACAATTGTGGCCCCTTTTGAGGCATTCCCCTAGTTAATCCCCAGCCAGTTCGTATTTGCAGCTCTTTTAGAGCCGGTCAACTCGACTCAGTGGGTCAAAGCAATTACACTGGGTGTTGTCCCCCCCCCCCCAACCACACACACACACACACACACACACACAGAGTTTGCCTTAAACAGAAGCTAATCGAGATATTCCCACCGAATGCCCGCAGAGATTCTTTCACAGGGAGAGCATCCTATCATTTGTATCTATCTGCATTCACCATGATTCCCGCATCCAATCGATCGCAAAGCATGAATCCAGCAAACAATCTTCGTCGTAGACCCCGAACCTACTCGGAAAATAGGAAATCACAGGATATAAGTCCGGCCCTACTGGATCCCCTGGATCCACGTCGCATCCAGCAGCAAATGCTGATGGTCTTTGTGCGGATTCGACCGGGATGTGATTTCGTTTTCAGTCAGGGACCCTCCACCTCGCAGGATTCGAATCAATCAGAGGAGCGAAGAAGGCGGCAGGGGGGAGCGAGTGCCTGGATGGAGGTGAGGCCACCGAACACGGTGCTGATCACCCGATCCGCTCTGCCCTCCGCACCGGACGTCGCCACCGGTCCGCCGAGGGTGCATGTGCCCAATCCCAGCCACGACATCGAGTTCCGCTTCCGACGGGTGTTCGGCGAACGGGCCACGCAGGCGCAGGTCTTCCGGGCTCTGTCGGAGCCCACGCTCCGGCAGCTCTACTCCGGCGGCAGTGGGCTCATCCTGCTGACTGGAGCCGCTGGCACCGGCAAGACGCACACCCTGTTCGGGGTGGGACACTCACCGGCGGAGAGCGGCCTGCTGCGGCGCATCTTCGATGCCATTTTCCGCAGCACTGGCTCCGATCTGGTGGATCGCTATATGGTCGAGGCGAACGAGACGGGCGAGGGATTCACCGCTGTGCCGGCACGAGCTGCCCAGAAGATGGCCGCCCAGGAGGATCTCTTCATGCAAAACGCCCAAACTCCGGGCACCGCCGCCGTTCGACCCTTCTGCCGCTGGCAATGGGATGGGGTCAAGATAAAGGTCTGCAACAAGCGGCACTCCTGCTTCATATCCATGCTGATCGTGCAAGAGGGCAACTTCTACGATCTATTCGATTCCAATGATGCGGAGGTGCAACGTCCGGCGCCGATGGGCCTGCGGGAGGATCGCCGGGGCAGGTGCTTTGCGGTGGGGGCCAATCGCCTGGAGATACGCAGTGTCGAGGAGGCGGATCTGATGGTCCAGGCGGGCCTGAACAAGCGCGAGGCGTACAGTGTCCATGGTGGCAGCCATCTGGTCATCAATATCTATCTGGTCTTCTTTGATGATTCGCGTAATGGCAAGCAACTGGAGTCGGGTCATCTGTGCATTGCCGAGGTCCTGGCACCGCGGGCAGTCCACACCGCAAACACGCGACGTCCTTGTGGCGCCCTGAAAACCGTTTACACGCTGCGCAACTGCCTCAATGTCCTCCAGCGGAATCAGTTGGCGGTGCTGAAGGGCAAACCCCTCCGCCAGAGGCCTCCGTTCCGGGAGTGCAGTCTCACCCAGCTGCTGCGGCACTTCTTCGATGTGAAGCACCTGGCCAGTGTGGTCTGCCTGGCCACCATTGGCCAGACATCCGAGCAGGCGCTGGAGAACATCCGTGCCCTGCGCTTCGCCGAGGAGACCATCTACATTCGGGACGATGATGACGAGAGCCTGGCCAGTCGCAGCCCCGTCGAAGAGCCGGAATTCGTGGACGAAGAGGAGGAGTTCGTGAGTTTCCTGGACAAGAACTTCAGACCCAACTATTGTGCCATCCGGACGGTCACACCCATTGTACTGCCGCCCTTCAATCACGTCCAATCGCTGATCTCCCTGCTCAAGGGTCGGATAACACGACGCAAACAACTCATGCAGAGCTCCTCGACCCTGAGTGCGGAGTGCCTGGAACGATTGGAGGGCACTCGCGATGAGGTGCTGGCCACCCAGGCCACGGCCCTCAAGGAACTGGAGCAGAGCAATTACGAGATCGGCAGTCTGCTGGACCAACTGGAGCTGGTCCACGAGCCGATTGCCTATGGCAAGTTATCCGTTCAGGCGCAACAGGCGGAGAAGCGAGCCCAGATATCGGAGAACCTGCTACATGGACGCAATGAGCAGCTAAAACGACATATCAGTCTTTTGGAACGACAGGAGGTCGTTGAGCCAAGCAGCGATGCCAGGAAGCGAAAGGCCCAGAACGATAAGGCCCTCAGGTCTAATCCCATTTGGCATCATTACTAAGGCCAATGCATGTCGACTTACATATTTTTGAATACTAGATATCTAACCAAATTAGAACTTAACCTCTCACAGTCGAGGTGATGCTGGGAATCACTACTGCTCCTTAATACTGGCGTAGATCCTTACTGTTCTTGCCATAGATTCATAAATAATGTCGAAGAGTAACGAAATATATATTTATTACGATTGAAGTACCCTTTTATTGCCTCGAAAGCACTGACACACTTTCCCACAGCACAACGGATTTGAGTTACCCATTTTTGATCCGGCTTTAAACATGTGTCTTTTCCGTCGTACCCTTTTTTTTTTTATGTATCTCTCTAAGCGAGTGTTCTGCATTCCCAATTAGGTGGAATGCATTTGTCACTTTTTGTCAGGCCATGATCAAGGCTAACTAAAGTTGGTAAGAAGGGGGGGTTCACAAAAATATGAAACGCGGCACAAAAGCCGCCGACTGCAATCAAAAATCCATTTACACGTTCACTCGCACGATCCGTGGTTGTCCGAACTGGATGGCCCCTTGGCCGCCGGTCATGTGCATTGGAGCTTTTGATTTGCTGACAAGCGAACGTCATGTCCGTCATGCAGTGCCCCCCCCCCACCCCTTCTTTTTGCCTCTCTCCCCCCCTGTTTCCCCCACAATGCCTACTGCGAGTTGGACGTGCAGATCACGCGCGTTGTGGGGTCGCCGGAATGGGAACTTCACAATGAAAAACCGACGTCAGCACCTGGAACCCCGAACTTCGTACTCACGCGTGACTCTCGTGAAATGTGAGAGGCAACACGTGAGTAGATAGGGACATTTATCCCTTAAGTTAGTTAAATCGAGTTAGATGAGAAGCTATGTGAATGGTAAGAAATGGGGGTTCATTTGTGTAAAAGATGGGAACTCCACATGCATCACTCCCACGAATATGGAACCTTATTACTCTGCATAAACTGAACGTGAGTAGATTGGGACATTAGGGTTATTTAAATCAAAAACTAAGAAGGTTTAATATATACGAACATATGTATGTGCGTGTTTTTAGTAAGAATATCACACGTAAGAGAAATTAAAATAAAAACCAACAATCCGTTGTAAAATAGAAATGGCATGCACAATATATTTTCTTTAAAAATATGTATGTATATATTATTCGACTTGGATGCTGTTTTTTAGGAAATGCTTCAGTCGATTCAAATAGACTGTAATGCAATTTTGTACCCTGTTCTCAATTTACTCAGAAAATACCCAGTTGTACTTAACCAATGTAAAAGGTGCTGATGATTTGATTTGTCTGGCAAAAAGATCACCCATTACTGATCGATTCGACTTAAAGTTCCTTCCGCTTCATGCAAATGACGCACTTGAAATCGGAAGAAGGGAATAATGCTTTACTATCTAAACGGATGTGAGGATTGTTTTTTATTTTTATAGAAGTCTGGAAAAGACGCAAGCAAACGTTGCCATGCAATTTTCTGACCGATAGCTGCAGTGCGAAACCTTGAATTTCCAACTCGTTTCGTGCCCGCCTTTTGTATTGTTTGCTTTCCGAGATTGTCGCATATTTGTTTTATTAATGAGAATGCAGTAAACGTAAAGGTACATATGCAAATTATGTCACTCGCTTATCGCCAGCCGATCTTAATTTTTTTTATTCCAACCTACGTGCCGCAATTATCACCCTCGCTGATATAGTACAAATTGAGATACTGCGCAGGGAAGGTCGATTACGGTATACAATTATTTTTCGCTTACTCTTGCCGGGAATTTTATTACACTTGTGGCATTCACACAGTCATAAAGCGAATTTATATATTATTTTGTTAATTAGCATCTACAATCAATGGATTTAATTAGCTTGTTAATTTTAAACTGAAACTACTAAAGGGAAAGATTAATTTGGGGCTGAAGTTCATTTCTTAGATTTTATAATACATTTAATTCCAAATTATATTTTTATGGCATATATTACAATGAAATTTATTATGTTTTTATGTATGTACGTTAGTACTTTATTTTATTATAATTGCTTTGTGCGGCACATTAATAATAATATATTTTTAAAGTATTTTTTTTTTCCCAAATCGAAAATCTAAAACATTTGCCAGTGTGGCTAGAAAACAACATTAAATTGTAGCATGTTATCGCTTTTTTGCCGGCTTGTAAATCTCTGGGATTCCGGGGATCTCGTAGATCTTGTAGATCTCTTGTACTGGCTCTTCCACATCTCATTCTTCGTGTTTATGCCGCCACCATGTGTTCCTTGTTTGCGCCAAAATATAGACGAAAAAAAAAGAAGAACAGCACAGAGGAAAAATTAAAGAACAACTCAAAAAACGTTTCGGCGAAATGAGGTCAACAGACGCCAAACAGTCGGGGGAAATGGGGAAGGGGGTTGGGAGGTTGGGGTGTCCGTGGGGTCGGGCGGTTGGGGGGTTGGGTGCTTGGGTGGTGCCTCGTGGGGTGGTTTGGGCACTGGGCTGGTCGACAGTTTATGGTTATTATTGTTGCTCTTTTTTCGCTGCCAGTGCGTGTATCTATGCGTCTGTTTTCCGCCAAATAGTTGGCCCAGGCCCACAAAAAAAAAAAAAAAAATACAGAAAAATAAGAACCCAACCCAAAAGGCCATTCCTCATCTCCCAACCCCACTCCACTCCACTCCGCCCCCTTTTCCCTTTCACCCCTCGTAAACAAATGAAGCCAAAAACGCCAAATGCGAAGAGCGAAAAGCGAAAAGCGCCAAACTAACTAAAATTCGACAAGGAAATGGCCAAAAAACACTTGCCAACGCAATGTAAGCTGGCAGACATGTGTGTATGCAATAAATTTCAACACTGGCACGCACAGTTGTGGTCAAGAATAACATACATAATAGGTTATACTAAACATAAAATAATATTTTATATAAACAAAAATAAAATAATATTTTATATAAACAAAAATAAAATCAATTATTTGATTTTTTTAGAATATTTATTATTGTATCGTGTTTTTATAGTTATATGTATTACTTTCAAAAAGGCACAAACATAATGCAAAATAAGTTCCTTATAATTTGCAACAATAGAATGTTAAGTATTACCTAATATCTTTTTTTAAGGGAAACTGCAAATAAATCTAGTTGATTAGCTTCTTACTATTATGGTGACCCCCACTGTACATATGGAGGCCCAGGCACTGATCGTGGGGTATTAAGTGCCGAATTTCCTAACACTGCCAGAGGAGAAGAAATAGGAAAAGGAGGGGGAGGTTGGGGGTGTGACTTCTGGCAGCCAAGATCCATGGGAAAAGTTCAGTTGCCCATTTTTAGCTAATCGAGACCACAGTGAAAATGCCTTGTAAATGCTCACTACTTTAATATTTCGATTTATATTTTGTAAAATACGTTCTTATGTTCTCATCTTCAGAGTTCACATTTAAAAACGAATACAAACTATGGCATTTATTATTATACCCTTGCATTGGGTATTCCTTCTTTCCTTTGCACGCAGTATATAATTCGGAACTATATCCTATAGCTGCCATATAACTGAACGATCGGAAATGCCACAACTTTGGTGTTTGTAAAGTTAGGAAGTTGGGATTTTTTATGAGTATTAAGAATGCATCATATGAATAATTTTGGAGAATATAATTTACAGAATATTCTGCAAGGGTATATCAACTTCGGCTCCGCCCGAAGATAGCTTTCCTTTCTTGTTTTTGTAAGGTTTCTGACACGTCTAGATCTAATCGCTTGATGATACATAGCAAACCTGCAAGGGTATAAAAAGTTGTTTAAAGAAAGACAATAAAGTGACTTGGACCATATAAAATACTATATATAATATTAAACTTGTCCATTTGTTGTACTATTCAAACTAAAAACAATTTTGTAACATCAAATCTAATCATCCTTGGCTGGCTTATCCTTTGGAGGTGCAGATTTTTTAATGGTTTTTTTCACCCGCTTTAGCGGTTTCTTCCGGTCAGCAGAGCCCAGTACATCTCCAGAGGGGAGCCGTCTAATTCTGAACAGTCGGCCATTGACCTCGGCGCATTGGTAGAATTTAGTCAAAGGCGGAAAAGGGCTCTGGACAATTCCGCAGTTGTAACAAGTAACACAGTTAACATCGGATTGATAAGATTTTGGTTTCATGACCTTTCTGCGTTTCCTTGGAGCCACCACCTCAGAGGATGTGGCCTCTTGCTCTTCACGATTCTCCTTTCGTTTTTGAATCCTTTTGCTCCTGCGCAACTTGACGGGTGCAGGAGGTGGTATCTCCTCAGTAGTTTCAAAATCATCCTCATTGGACACTGATGTCGATGGCCTCGGCGACTTTTCCTCTATTTCCGGTGTAACCTCATCAGAATTCATAGTTGGTGACTCTATCTGCAAATGATAATACAACACGAAAACATGAATTGTATTTAGATTTACCAGTACTTTTAGTATACATATGTATGTTACTCGTAGAAGAGGCATTTGCAAATGGGGAATTATTGGGTTTAAGTAAAGCAACCGATTTCAATTGCTTCTAAGTTTTAAGCAAAAATTAAAATTATGTTCTATTCTTATGTGCTGAACCAGCAGTTGCTCACCAGGTGCTCATCACGATATTTACCTGATCTATAATAGTGCTGGTCCTGGATTCAGTTGGAGGTACCAAAGGTTGCTCCCCAGCGGTTTCAAAAAAAGAATCCTCATTGAGTTCAAATGCTAATGGCATCGGTGGCTCTTCAGTTATATCCGGAGTTTCCTTATCAGAAGAAGTCATGATTGTTGTTTTTAATATACACGTGTTATTCGTAGAGAGAGTTATTTGTTAATGGCAAAATACTGGGTTTGAGATAAGTCATACATTTCAATGCCTTCTCAGTTTTTAACAAAAATTAAAATGATGTTCTTAGAAGAATATATAATTCTCTTAATATCTTTTATCGTGTTTGCAACGCAGTGAAGGAGACATTTCCGACCCTATAAAGTATATATATTCTTGATCAGCATCACCAGGAGAGTCGATCTAGCCATGTCCGTCCGTCCGTGCGTTTCTACGCAAACTAGTCCCTCAGTTTTAAAGCTATCTGCTTGAACTTTCCCAAATGTTGTCTTTCTATGGCAGGTAGTATATAAGTCGGAACGAACCGGATCGGGCGACTATATCATATAGCTGCCATATAACTGATTGATCGGAAATGCCATTACTTTGGTGTTTTTAAAGTTAGGAAGTTGTGATTTTTTATGAGTACTAAGAATGCTTCATATGAATAATTTTGGAGAATATAATTTACAGAACATTCTGCAAGGGTATATCATATATATATTTCTTGTTTTTAATTGCTTTTAATTCGATGGCCTAACCTTAAGGGAAAATAGGCCTATACGATCTAACCCATTGGTAAATACACCTTCAAAGAGTCGAGATCTAATTGCATTATTTAATCCAGTGCCCACTGTAGACTCAATGGAACGTTGAGCGGGCCATAAACATGCGTGAAAATTCAATTGATTTTCCGGGGAGCTGAGGGCGAAGTAGTTGGCATGCGTATTTATAGAAAATGGGAGGAATAGGAGGCGGGGGTATCTATGCAAAGGAAAAATTGCCCATTTTGGTGTGGGAAACAACAGGCTGGCCGACTTGGATACGGATTCGCATCGGAAAAACGATCTGGGGACTGGGATCTGGGATTTGGGATCTGGGATCTGGGGACTTTGCCTGGGCAGCGGCAGCTGTCGAGTGTGTTGCGCATATACATTTGCAAATACCCAGAGAGCAGTGAAGACTTGCAACATAATTTCTGCCAGCGACTAATGAGACCCGAGGCTCTGAAAGTGTTGCTACAACCCGCACTCGCTCAACCTCCTCCCCCCTGGTAACTCCTTAACCCCTCGCTGTCATAAGAGGCACATAGAGCACAGAGCTGGAAAAAAGAAGCGTGTGGGCGACTTGATTTATTGCCAATTGGATGGCAGTCGCACAGAAGAATCGCACAGAAGAGCGGCGAAGATTTTGGCCCCACTCGAAATCCCAAATCCGAATCAAAATCAACAAAAAAGAAAAACCCATTGCCGCGTGGGTTAACTGCAGGAAAAAAATCAAACACGAAGTTGGGGTAAAGAACGAAAAAAAAAAAAACACTCACGATGATTTTGCGCATAGAAATCAAAGAGCCCACGCCCGGGGCTAAAAAAAAGTGGAGAGAAGAATCAAGCCCACTAGAAGAATCGGCCGAGCAGAAGAAGCGACCTCCGAAGAATCGTCTCCCTGGGGAACCGATAAATCAATAAGCCCCAAAATGTGGCAACCACTGCTTCCACTGCCACCGCTTGAAACCCCGACAAATTGCCCTTTGGGCTGGGCAACCGCAATGGCATAATGACTGGGGGCTGGGCGAAAGATCAGTGATCAGTGGGTTCGGATCAGCAGAGGATCGATCGGCTGATCTGTGGGGATCTCCAGATACCAAGCGAAAAAAGTTGAGAACAAAAAGTGGATGGTATTTAAATGTGATGAGTTTTAATCCAGAACAGAACTCAGAAACTTTGAAACGGAAGTTCAAATGATAATATAAATAATGCTACAAAGCCAATATCGTATAAGTTGGTTAAAGAAGTGATTAAGTAGTTTAGATCATATTTATAGGGTCTTACCATTTAGGATTATATTATATTATACTGCATAGAGGTCATAAATCAATAGGAAAACTAAAGAACAGGGTTAACAAGCAAGGAAGTCAACGATAAATTGAATACAGATTTTTGGAAATAAAAACCGCAAGTATTTAGAGGTATGCCACTTTAAAATTGGCTTAAGTTTGGCAACGTTAGAGATTATTAGCGATTTATTTATTGATTGTTCCCATGGATGCTATTATGTTACTGTATATTAAAGCTTAAATGTCTTTTTATCAGTGATGTACAATCTTAAGGGTCGTATAGTATCTAATAAAAAAAATTTTCCCACAAAAATGGATCATGGGAAAAAGCCAGATCAATTAGATAACTGGGTTGTCAATGAAAATAAGTATGCGTTGGTAAAGAGAGTATGAGAAAGCCAGACCTCGACCCAGACGAGGTGGCAACCGCAGATCTCGGATCAGATCGCCATACCGATCCCGATCCCGATCCCGATCCCGATCATCTCACGCAGATTCCCCGGCCGTGGCATTAACCCTATTCGTATCGCAGTCACATGGGTGAGATTTATGGAGCAAATACCGTGGTTACCCCTCCGAATTCCCCACCTTTCCCCTGATGTTTTCTGTTTGCCCCGGGGCTAAACTCAGAATTGTGCGAATGAAACTCGTTACCGGGGAAGCCGAAAGGGGGAAACGAAGGAATAGCAAAGCAAAGCAGGCCAGACAAAGCCGCAGATGGATCGAACCATTGCCAATACTCGTACCTGCCCCAGTCACCAACGTACACTGGGGAAAATGGGTTAATATTACTTGCATATTAACATTTCCATCTTTTGACCCTTTTCCTAGTACATTTTTATATTCATATGGAATCGTAACAATTAGATAAGCATATATGATTTCTTTTGTTTTGCTGAAACCGAATATAATTGAAATTTAGTTTAACTCCAATTTTTGTGACTTTATCCCTAAACTTAGTTAGATAAAACCGACTAACTTCTTAGATGATATATTTTTTTAAAATTTTTTTTAAATAGGTGGTGCCCTATTTGTTCCAAAATATAGATATCAACTTTTCTAAATTAAAATTCCAAGTACCGAGTACCGAGTTCAAGACCCAGCTTAAGTCTGATTTCGGTGATCTTTTTTTCTCGCCGTGCAGTGGCAGTAAGCTGAAACTTTGTTGGGATCGCTCTCCATCTCGGTCATATCGGACTCCCCTGGTTCCCCCCCAATCCCCCATCCCCCCCCTGGCACTCAGCCCCTGTTAACCTTCCCGTCCACCTCAATCCGGTCCAAGTGGCTTCTTCCCGCTCCTCTGGCGGATCTGCGATCGTGCTGCTGGCCGTGTTGCTTGTTTCTAATGAAAATTGACGCCGTGCTGGTAATTTAAGTTGTTTTCGTTTGGTTTCTTTCTCCCAGCTTGGATTTTTTACTGTTTGCCTGTTTTTTTTTTTTTTTTCATTTCATTTTTTTTTGGGGGGCTTTGCGTGCTGGGAGATCGCCTGGCGATCGGTTTTGTTTTTCTTCCATTTTTTGTTATTTTTTTTTTTTTTACTGTTTTTTGGTTGTAACGATTTTGGCTGGCAGTTTGTTAAACATTTTGGGCCATTCGGGGTGAACCAAATGAAGATCGTATCGAGCCTTCGGGGAGTTGGCCATCTGGGATCGCTGGAGAAATGAGCCCGAATGAAATTGATCACTTCTGGTGTTGTGGCAACTCTACACGAGAGCGACAACCCGTAACCCCCTTTCGTCGATCGGGGTCACCCTTGGCATTATTTGATCAGCTTAAACGTTTCAGCCACTCAAAATGGTTGGCATTTGTTGGCTAAATGATCTTCATTTGCTGACAGAGTTTGATTGAGAGTTTGCTTGGCCTTACCACTTCCAAGTGATTGAATTCTTGTGTAATGTAAATATGTCGAAAATACGAAATTCGGCCTCTTTCTTCTCATTTTATGTTAATGTCTTTAAGAATCTCAAAGCTAACATTCTTTGGGTGTTTTGTATTCTTTATTCTTTGTCAACCAAAAATTCTAATAAAAGAATTTCGCAACTATAACAAATTTCTTTGTGCTTATTTAAGATGCCTGCATTTTGTAAGCAATTTCCTGGCTTAATTCTTATTTATGCACCTTGTTTGGACACTGAAATCGATCATTCCTAGAGCTCTAAATTATTTCTTGTCATTTATGGATTTCTGCCACTCTTTTCTGGTGAGTTTTTCACATTTTTCCTTCATTTTCCATGGGCTTTTTCTCCTCCTCCTCCTCCCCTTTTTTCTTTCTTGGTGCCACAAATTATGGCCTCGGCATTTTCCTGCCTTGATTGCGAGCCATTCGCTCTTGGCACTTTGAGGCGTTTGGCTTCGCGCAATTTGGTTGCAACTGCCTTGCCACCCCCTCTCCTCCCCCCTCCCACCTCTCCGGACTTTCCTCATTTTCCCGATCTGCATCTCTTCGCCGGTTCTTTTCACATGCTGCTGCGAGATTTTCGTGGCTCGTTTATTTATTATGATTATTTATTTTGTTTTACTTAGTTTGCGGCTGCCTGCCACAGATGTTGGCAGTTCATCAGCTGGAAAAAGGGGCGGTGGGCGGGGGGTGGTAATACCCACACACACACATACATACATGGGCTGAGGATTGATTAGATTTGTTCAGTTGAAGTTTTCCCCGCTTTTTTTCTTCAGTTTTCCACGCTGGAAAGTTCAACAAACGCTTGCCACGCCTGCTGTCGCCCACTTTTGGGACGTCTTTGTTTGTCTCCCCCTTTTCCCCACCTCTTTATCTGGCCATCTGTACTGGCTTCTTGGTTCAGAGAGAGAAAAAAGGGGGAAGATCGGGTCTAAATAATCTAAATCACGGCAAACAAATATTAGATTTATTAATGTGTTAAATTTTATCAAGTCTAAAACAGTATAATTGTTTATTGTTTTATTACAATTTGTATTTTACTTTATTAAGCTTTTAAATGGTTAACATATAATTTGAAAAAGTTTAAACAATATTATTAATTTAAAACTATTAAAAATGTCATTTATGTCCAAATCTTTTATAATATTAAAATTGAGGCTACATTTTTGTGATTTTTCTTATGGAATTTTTGGAGTTTTTCGATTATTTTCCACCATGCTATAAGATATGTCTGACATTTTAGACTGCAGCATGTGGCATGGATTGTTCGTTCGACTGCCCAAATGCAAATCCTGCCGCCAATCGACTTGCCACGCCCACCGCCTTGGAAAATTTGTGGCACGTGGGTGTTTGGTGGCATGTTTGCTTGACGAATTTTGACTTGGCTCGC